TGATGAGTGAAACGGTTTTGACCGATGAAAGACGGCCCAAAACTTAGCCGCGAGTTATGAGAAAACCATCGCAAACCAATGGGGAGAAAATGGATGCAAGAGTATCTTGCAAAGACAGATTGGTTTTTGATTTCTGCGCAGGTGGCGCGTTCTTGTTTGCAACTGAAAGAAATACATAGCTGTCGGAAATGAGGCATATACTTAAACTTGAATTTACGCGCTTTGTATAAGCTAATCGACATGGTTCATTGGAAGTTGACTATATAGAAGCAGTTTATTTTGAAGTTTGTGATTCGCTTAAACTCTAATTATCTTGAGGAAGTGCGAGGGGCCTGTGCTTACACCCTTTTTGACACAAAGGAAAAAGCCGCCTCCGTCCAGAGAAATCAGAGATCGTGAAGAAGCAAGTTTGAAGCGGGGAGGGGAAGAAATGGGTAGAAATGGAAATTTGTAAGATTTTTTTTTGAGGGGAGGAAAAGTGGGCGCGTATTGTGTCTACATGCCATGCAATATACAGGGGAAGTTTGACAATCGTTTCTCCCTGAAGGCGGAGTGCGGTTGATGATCGGGCCCGCTCGTGCATAAGACCGGGGCCTCGCGAGGCGCATGGCCCGGGGCTATTAGTCCGCGGACACGCTCGTTCCAGCGTCACTGCCGGTGACAACAAAACTTTTTCCCCCGTTTTTTTTTTCTTTAAACAAAAACTCGCAGATTTTTCTAAGCACTTACAGTCAGGGAGGAAGAAAGGGTTGAGTTTGCTGGACGAAACCATTTAGCACCGCTGGCATGGAAATAGAAGAAGCACCAATTAATAAGGATTAACGGACGAGGTGCAAGGGGTACAATGGGGTCGAGATTGAGGGAGCGGACCGGACCCAGTAATGCAATACTTCCCCGAAATCTTGGCTTGAATGGCTGGCGCAGATTTCGTGGAGGGGTTGGGGGTAGTCAAAGTTGGGCTTGATAGCTAGGCGGCCCTCGCTGTAGTGGATGAAAACATACACCGTGAATGAACGAGGGGTTTTTGTCACAACCTATTCAATCAATAGCCGGCAGCGCACGCATGAAATTTCCATCACAGGTCAATAAGGAACAGCAAGAAAAAGTGGAAAAAAAGAGAAAAAAATCGAAATGATCAAAAGTTGTATTTAATCATCGGTGGGAGGGGTGTGTGTACGCACGCAGGCACCGGGTCGCCTTTACCGATATTCCGTCAAGTGCAAAGAATTGTAATTTAATGACGGCATTAAATCACAGAAACCAGTGGCTCGGGCCTAGCAGCGCATGAGCGGGGACAAAACACATCAAATCAGCTTTTGTGAGATCGGCAGGAAAACAAAAGCCACGGAATTATACACACACACAGCCGGGCGTTGTATGGGCCCGGTGAGGGTTGGAGAAAAAGGATCGAGCGTAGCCAGAAACACTCCCGTGCGTAACCCAACCCCTTCTTGCCAGCATGGGGTTTGGGTGTGTAAGACCCACGGCTGTTTGGGTCCTACCCTCCCCCCCCCCCCCCTCGTAAATACCCCACCCCGGCAGCTGGGGAGTCTGCCAAGACGTCTGTGATTAGTAAGGGGACACGAGGCCTGGAAATCGCCGGCTCGTGCAGGTGTGAGCGTCGTCGGTGTGCGGCCGGGCAAACTGCCGGGCGCGCGGCCGGCCGACAACTGGGAGGGATCCGCCTGCGCCGGCGAGCAGACGCCGGCCGGCATGATCCCGAATTCACGGTGATTTCCAATCCCCTCTCGTACAACAACGAGGGGAAGAAAAGAACGACTGAAAGAAAAGAAAGAAAAAATCCTAGCGTGGGTCGGGACGGCGGCCCGAGAAAATTAAAAAGTTATCACGAGCTTTGGCGTGTTGCCAGACTGGTAAACATTTTAATGGTCCAATGAGGACGAGATCTTTATTTTACTGCAGGCAAGCAGGCATCATTTATCGATGCAATGGGTGCTTAACATGGGCAGCATGCGCCTTACAGAACCCTAGAGTGATAATTGATGGGTTTCAGAAAATGAACATTCTGTTTCGACTTAAAAAAAATCCCGTGAATTTGAACTTGAAAACACGGAAGGGCTATTGCAGCGCTTTAAAGAGAAGTTAAAAAAGTTCTAAACAGTAAGGCGTCTGTTCTTAGAAAAATTCTTGTCATATCAATCAGATGATACTCATTCAGTCTCGGTGTATTACCTCAGGCCAGTTGGGGTGCTACAAAATCCTCAGTAATTAATGTCGAAAACCTCCCGACGCCTCCCTTTAATAATAAACCCACCATTGTTTTTTACGATGTTATTATTGCCTATGATACACAAGACGGTGTTAAACATGAACAATGCTTTGCAGTCAAGTCCATCACCAAAAGTCCTCACAAGTCCCCGCACGTCCACCTCAATTCTTTACAAGTCCCCGCAAATCCACCACAAGTCCTCACAAGTCCATCACAAGTCCTCACAAGTCCACACGAGTCCATCACAAGTCCCGCAAATCCACCACAAGTCCTCACAGGTCCCCGCAAGTTTATCACATCACAAATCCTCACAAGTTCCCGCAAGTTCATTACAAGTCTCCACAAGTCTCCGTAAGTCCATCACAAGTCTTCACAAGTCCTCGCAAGTCCTCACAAGTCCCCGCAAGTCCCCACAAGTCCATCACAAGTCTTCACAAGTCCCCGCATGCAAGTCAATCACAAGTCTTCACAAGACCCCGCAAGTCCATCACAATTCTTCACAAGTCCCCGCAAGTCCCCACTAGTCCATCACAAGTCTTCACAAGTCCCCACGAGTCCATCACAAGTCCATTACAAGTCCGAGTCCACCACAAGTCTTTACAAGTCCCCGCAAGTCCATCATAAGTCCAACACAAGTCCATCACAAGTCCATCACAAGCCCATCACAAGTCCATCACAAGTCCATCACAAGTCAATTATTCAAGTTATCTATATAGTCTAAGTCACAAGATATACAAATGGTTATGACTGCGACATTCTTTTGTTATTATGAATTGTATAATTGACTTTGATCAGACTTGTGACGAGCCTTACATTATGGATCTTTGATGGACGCGAGATAAACTCGACTACAACACATCAACTCATCATGACTTTTGAGAAAAAAGCAAATTGTGAATGAATCAATGACTTCAAATCTAAGCTTTAAAAAGAAATTTATCTTTGCATTTAAATGTTTATACCACAAGAGAATTTTCTTTTATTTTCTAGGCCCCTTCCTTGGGGGGGGGGGGGGGGGGGGGGGGGCAATGACCCCCTTCAACCCCCAATCTCCGTATGAATAATGCATTCAACATCGAGAAAAGCAAACAATTATTCAGGAACAGTGGAACAGTGGAACAGCTCGCCTATACGTGATTTATAGCCGGCCGCGCCTACCCTACAAAAATAACCCTCCCCCACCGCAAAGCAGACACGTTTCAGTCGCATGTCTCGCCTCGTTTTTATGTCGAGATTAATTAATACGATTTTTCCATTCTTCTTTGTGTGTGTGTGTGTGTGGTATTTTCACGAGCTGTGGGCTTTTTAACCAACCCTGACAGATGGGTGACCGCGGGCCGACTAGCTCCTGTACTGGTGCAAATTGAATCATTTTTTCCACGGTTCAGTGTGCACGGCAGCGGGTGCCGACCATTCAACTTGGCCGGCCCGCAGTGGCGTGGCTACCCACGGCCCGTTCGGACGGACACCGCCTGGACATACTCCCTGACGACATGTCAGCCCACGTGATTGATTTGTGATGGATTAAAGGCCACGGGAGGGGGACTCGGGCACGCCCCTCCCCAACTCTAGGTTTGTGCTCGTGCCCCCTTTACAAAGTTGCAATTTGATACAAAACATATTCATTATTAGTGGAAAATAATGATGGAACTCATTGAACGCTCCCATCCCAGAAAGTGAGGGTTCCCCGTCGCAAACGGACCTTATAGTTTACACTAAAAGGCTCGGAAACAGGAGAGGGCAGTCATTTTTATAGTTGAAGATGGGCCTGCTATCCTGCTTGGGGCGGGGCTACAGTGTAGGTGGGGGGGGGGGTGTGCTGCTGAGGGAGTTGTACCCTCCAAAATAGAGTTTTTGACGGTCCCGCCGTTTTAACCCATTTTCACTGTCCCGATTTTGCTTTAAAAAATCTCCATGCCATTGCAATTTGCCATTCTGCAGCCCCGGCTACGGCCCACCCACCCTTGACACATACGCACACACATACTAGCACTTTGTTTATGGTGTAAATCGAGGATTTTCTTTTTGTTCCTCTTCCCTTTTCCTTTGTTTGTACTCTTTTTCGCAACAGCTCTCATAGGTTTTTTTTACACGTTTTCCAACAGAGGAGTCCTCGATTCGGTTTCTGACCTCGATTCACCGATGATGTTGCACGTGTGTGTCCTCGATTTACACCATAAACAAACACAGCCGTGCACTACATAACTCTCGAGGACAAGGCATTGTGTTTCCCTTACATAGCTAGTGTGGACTTTCCGTGTAGTTAAGAAAAACCGAAGAAGAAAAAAAAAATCCTTTAACTCGCACTGTTAACACTCTTTCAACCTAATTATTTGTTATCATGATTTCCTTGAGTGTTCCTCTTCATTTTGCGACTGATAACCCTAACCCACACATGACTCTAAAGCTGTTTTCCAGAGAGGGGGGAACCTTGTGTGGACCTGGCTTAGTCCTCAGAAGGTTCACACAACCTGCATCGTGTGGACCTGTTTTGTTTTCAGGTCCACACAAAGATGGCAAGGTTGGCACACTTACACACAGCGTCCCGCAAGTGTCAGTCCCCTCCCTCCATTTCGGAAATCTCTGATATCTTTGAAAATTTCTGGATACCGATTACTAGCGCCCGCCCCCTTCCTTACCAGCCTAATGTTGGATCCGCCCTAGACATGGGTAAAATGGCGCCCCAACTTTGTTGTACGCGACAGCTCAGTTCTGTGGACTCGTACTCAGAAGCTATCGTGAAAATTTACTTTTGGAATATGTGAGCACCTTTGGAGCATCGTTGAATAAGTTTTTATTTCCATGAAAAACTGCATGAATAAGTAATACATTATCTAGAAAAAGTGTCATGTTTCTCTAAAAGTATGTGCTAAAACGTGTACATGTATTGAGCTTCTTTTCAATGCTCGCCAACTTGTCAAAATTAACATAATTGTCACGCCAAGAAAACAGACACATGGAGAATGGGACGGTGTTTTTTTTTTGTCAACGTAAACTAGACTGGGATGTTTTTATATGCTGTTTCTTGACGCATGAGGGCGCTGTAACATTAGGCAATACATTCACACAGCTAGCTAGCTGTGAGCTAACAAATCGTGGTTTAGAGATGCCTGTAGGAGACGGAGAAGTTGGGGTCTTGGGGAACAACATTAAATGCATTCACGAAACACGTCTTGAAGCAAGACTGTTGTAAACCTGTCAATTATCCCCTGGGATCACCATCTCCCCACCCTGGGGCACCACTGCTTGTGGAAATGTATACAGATGCAGACAGAAACAGTACACATGTATTGGCACCAATTGAGTCTTTGAAATATTCACTTTTTCAAAACAAAAATTCTTTGTTTGGTTACATGCTACACGAAAATCTAAACCAAACTATGAAATGTTTTTGACATCAATTTTAAAAGTTTGTTTAGTAAAACAGACGGGGAAAAATCAGTGCTGTTATTTTTTGGCTGTTCCTCAAGTTGAAGCTGTGCACAGGCTAAAATGGTTTTACATGATAACACATCACATATGCATGACATTGGGAAATTTCATAGAAAATTACCATAGTAAGATTTAAAATTTATATCGTTTAAATGGCATCCAGAATCCTCTATTGATGCGCAAGAACCCAGAGACACATTTTTTAGTTATAAATTATTTCAAGGCGCATCAATGGCCATGAAAGAGAACTCAACCTTACTTAATCCTGCAAATTCCTCCAGAATTTCCCAGCGGATTGTATGGAATTTGGAAGGCTTTAAAGCTTTAGGTTATGGCTCATGATCATACATCATGAGGGATGTCTAAAGCTTTCAACTGAGATACAGTAGTTTGAAACCGAAATAAGCCATGCTGCTTAATGGCCCTATTAAACTACAGAGTGGAAGTGCTCTGAAAATGGCTACTGCCCAGTCCAATTTTCAAAAGCAGTCTTTTCTTCAAGACCCCTTGCAGCCTCACTCCTTAGATCTAGAGAATCCATGGTTGATCAGTCAAGATGCACTTTGCGCGTGAGGTTTGGCAAGTCCTAATAGATCAGCGTCAGCCTCCAGTAAGCTGAGGTCCCTTGCTGCACCAATGAAGTGATCCGTCAGCTCAATGTCTCGCAATCGGAGTCGGACCTTGGCACCACGATGATACTTCCTGAGGAGAAAAATAACACAAGTAATCAGTCCCTCAATTGTTAAGATGTGAGATGACACTGATTGTAAGATTATACTGATTGACAACAGCAACAGTGAAAATCCAAGTAACTGCAGTGTTTGAATGTAACAATTCTTTTAGAACATAGACAGAACTACATCGTGTATGTACTTCAAAGTTTATTGTACAGTTCGGTACAATGTACAATGTGTACGTACTCAGGATCCTGTTCTGGCCTCTTGCACACACAATGGAATTTCCCACCAAAATCAATGTAAAGATCGTCGTCAACGATATGAAATATCTTCCCAATGACGATCTGACCCTTGGCGTTGCCGATGTGGACGTGGGATGAATGTCTCAGGAGAGAAGCGAAGCTTTTGGGAGTGTCTGACGTTGCATCTATTTCGGGAAGATCAGGTTGCTGCACTGTTGAATGCTTTACAAATGCGCGTGCGAAACCGGTTAGTTTGGGTCGAACTTCTTCTGCTTGAAGCTCAGTAGTTTCATCATTTTGGTCCGGATCATTTGTCTCCGAGCCATTCTTAACACCTGATGTATCACAAAAAGTGACTCTGGAGGTATCCTGCCAACGACTTGCTCGAATTTTTGCGAGATTTCTTGCCAGTCTGAAAAAGCGCACACCGAGCTGCATGGGCGCCGCCATTTTGTTTGCCCGTCAACCCAGCAGGCCAATCACAATCAAGTTACTTTGCAAACGTCCATTATCGTTTATGCTACGCTCCTCTCTATTGGCTAAATAATTCCTTGCAATGAACTCTGGGATAGACCTTGCTGCTAGCGCGCCATATGCATTTTGAATGAAAGGGTGATAAACATGGCAGAGAACGTCAAAAATATTATTGAATTTTTGCGCCTCGTTGGTCAATTAAAAGTAAGTAAAGATGTAGGACTTACGTTTAACATGATATACTAGATTGTATCGTAGGCGACTTGCCACAAATTGAGGTCTGGAATGGATGTTTCGAAAAGATTTTTGTCATAATTTAAAATTTATTGGAGGATCCGAAAAACAACAATCAACATTGGCAATGGTATGATGGTGGCAGTGGATATTTGGCCGGCGCCGTTATTTAATTTCAGGGAGGCTTTTTTTGCGTTAAATTGCGTAAGGTCTGATTCCCATCAATGACGATGTAATGACTAATGGCGTAATTCATGTAATTATTTTATATTTTCTCTCTGTTTGGTCCTCTTCACTGCCACTGCCAGCGAGTGAAACGGACAGGATGGGTAATGTGCAAGGTGGAACAGCCGGAGAGTGTGTCTGATCACATGTATCGCATGGCAGTTCTCGCCATGCTCATTCCAGAGGGTAAAGGCCTGCGTAGGGATCAGTAAGAACTTCTATTTCCTTTTTCATTTTTTTAAATTGTTTTTGGGGCTGGCTTGTACATGTTCTGGTTAAAATTTTGAGTTGCCCAGGTTGCAATACTTAAGTAGTGTGTAGAGGGTGCATCAACAAGATGAATCTAGCTCTTGGGAATTTTGGCACTGATATCCGAGAAATTCTCGAGCATCCCCCCCCCCCCCAAAAAAAAAAACCACCAAAAAACCTGTACTACCCGGGAGGGCAATGGCCCATCCCCCACCTTATTTTTTTTGTTGGGAAACAAAAAATGCTGATTTTGAAGTTATCTTGTAACCTCCAACGGTCCAAATTTTCTACATGTTCAACTTTACCTTGAATCAGCTGATTACCTCGTACTACATGTACCTGTAAATTTATGCACATCCCTAGTGCATGGCCAGCTTCTGTTTAACCATTCCAAAACTCTCTGATCAGCTTTTTTTTCAAATTTACCAAGACAACTTGTCATATGTTCAAGTGGTGGTACCTAGTGTACTCAAGTCTTTGGAAAAGGTTTTACGATAATTTTCACCTAGAAAATATTTATGCTGTTTTCTCCAACAGTTGTATCAAGATGGCCATAGTACACGACCTAGCCGAGTGCATAGTGGGGGACATTGCACCAGCAGATGGTGTCAGCAAAGAAGAAAAGTATAGACGAGAAAAGGTGAAAGAAACTTATCCAAATTTCCCCTTTCTCCACCACCTCCCCCTACTCTAGTCCGAAAATTTGGGACTCTCAACACTGTGAATGAGGGTCCCAAAACTTAAAGGGAATATACAACATTTGCAAACATCGAAAAATAAAACTACCAAGTTTTTACGAAATACCTTAATAGGATGTTGGTAAATGACAGTCTAAAGCATCCTGTAAAATTATGGCACCTGGTGTGAAGTCATTTTCAAGAAAATGGTATTTTTGACTCCGACTCGACCACCGTTGGAAAAACCTAATTTTTTTCAACTACTGCTCCAAATTTACCATTAATTCAGTCCAAATTTTGTTTGCTATTGGTTGCATGTTCATGAACGGGTGCAGACCAGCTAGACTGGTTCCCTTACCTTACAATTTTCGGGCATCTGTAAATTGATCCATTTTATATTTAGTGGAGTCAGGGAACCAGACTACTTGAACACTTTTGTTTTTCTTGGTTTTTCCAGCATTTTCGAACACAAAACTTCAAACGCTGTCAGTGTAACAATATTGATCTATTATACTAACCCCTCAAATAGTTCATTTCTGAAAATGACAGCAAAAGCCAATGATGTACATTCCCTTTAAGGTATTGATAACATGAAATACAAGACAATAGACTGGCACATGAAACAACCAGTCCAACAACTAGCCAACAACCCTTTAGTACTACATCAATCAACGATGTCAAAGGAAACATCTGGTTCCTACAATCACTGCCAAATCTCGCTGGGCCACTCATCCCCGGCCCCCAGTCAATGTTGTCTCTCATTACATCATCTGTGTTCCAGCTGGAGATAACAACATTGACCGGGGGAGAGGGGGAGTGGGGGACCGGGGGAGTGGGGCACCGGGGAGGGTATGCTTGTTGTCACGCGCCAGATTGCTGTAACACACTCACGACAAAGACTCGCATGCACATCATAATGATTTGAAGTAAGGTAGCCAGTCTATGTAAACCCTTTGCCTATGGACAACATAGCCTCTTCACAGGATGTTTGACTTTTGGTTTAATCATTTTTGACAGCACACTTATTGTCGTAACCAGCTTATCTGTTTTACATTGTATATTTCAGGAAGCAATGAACCACTTGACAAGCCTTGTGGATCCTGCTGTCGGATCAGAACTTTGTCAACTCTGGGAGGTAAGTATTCTTCTTCCCCATAGGTAGCCTTGACCAAGGCGTTGGGCTTATCGATTCGCCGATAACAAAAAAAATCGCCGATAAGAAAATCACACAGTGCATGCATGAGCTAGTCCGCGTAACCCAACGCCTTGATGGTTTTGAGTTGACCCAGCAAAACCTATTACGGTAATGAGGTACCACCCCCCGCGTATCCTGAATTCTCATTGGTCAGCCCGCGATAGGCTAACAAACACGTCGCATCCGCGAAGAAACGCTGCAATGGCGGCCCGTTGCTGTGGGTGAAAGTCGTTCAGTCCCAATCTGTCCGAAGCAGTATTGAAGGCTCCAACGAATTCTGCAGGTAATGCTGTCATTAGACGATCGTTGCCCACTCAAATGGATTCATTACACGAGCCGAAAAACTTTCAACAATTTGACATTGATTCGAAAGTGACGAACATTTCGCTCTCGCTAAAAAGACATGGAAGACGCCATGATGACTAATGCATTATGCATGCCGCGCGACGTCACATGATTCATGTGAAGCTAACAATTGGTCAGCTTAAAAATGAATTAATCATACTATTGGGAAGGTTGTTTCATGTGATTGGTCCAAGACGAACCTACATAATCATCACGGCATACCCGCATATCCTGAAGCCCGCCCATTTTTTTCCAAAACTGGACGAAAAGGTAAAGAAAGACATTAAACCCGGAAGTTGCAGACCCAACAAGGCGGTCGTTCGACAGGCCACGCGGCGCGTATATCCCCCACACGTACGTACGTACACCCACACGCAGAACACAGTAGGCCTACATTTACTGCCTTATTACACCATGCGTACATGTACAGTCCGTACTCACGTGTGTGTGCTTGCTGGTTGTGTTAGTACCGAACCGTTCGTATGGACAAGGGTCGGTGGTACACGCACGTAGCCGCGTTGATTGTGGGTGCAGGGCCCGATTATCTCCCTTCGACAAAAAGCCGAGAGACCGCATTGAACAAGGCTACCCCATAGGTTGGTTAGGGGGTATTTGTACACTGTTCTTTAATATTGTGTTAATAATCGTCAGATTTGAACAGCGTCCCCATTGAAAGTATGGTACCCCCCCCCCCCCCCCCCCCCCCCCATTCCTCCATCTATTGATTTTCGGAGGCCAAGTGTCCGGAGAAAAAACCCTGTCTACATTTCAGATTTTTTTACTGATGAAAAACCCCCTTGCAACAATTCCTGGATCCGCCCCTGGTCCAGAAAGGTCAGGAAGGGTCAGTAAAGGAAAGGATATGGTAGGATAAACTGGTACTGTAGAATAGGACAGGACGGGATAAGTAAGGATACGCAAACAAGGGACAGGGACAGAGGTAGGACAAAGACTGATACATAAATACAACATTGCTGTACACATTGAATAATAAAACTGGTAACCTGGACTAAAATTGAGCATGTAGGATTTGTTTTGAGGAAAAGCTTTATAGATAATATTGTTTTGTTCATGGTTGACACAGTTCGAAGTTGCAGTGATTCAAACGAGCCAATTAAAGAGGTTGTGGAATGCTCGAAAACATTTCCGTCATTTTTTGGGTATATGTAGCCTAAGGTGTGATGAAATAAAAACGACTATTGTTTCTGTCATGAAATGAGTACAAAAGGTACTTTTGAGAGCTATTTTTCAAGTCCTGTCATGCCTGTTTCGACCCGAACATGCAATTTGTGTAAAAGTCGTCGTTGCGGGCAGCAAACAAAACACAGTAAATCGTGACGTAATAAACAGGACTCCCGATGCAGAGTAGCATAAACGAGTCCTGTTTATTACGTCACGATTTACTGTGTTTTGCTACTCTGCATCGGGAGTCCTGTTTATTACGTCACGATTTACTGTGTTTTGTTTGCTGCCCGCAACGACGACTTTTACACAAATTGCATGTTCGGGTCGAAACAGGCATGACAGGACTTGAAAAACAGCTCTCAAAAGTACCTTTTGTACTCATTTTATGACAGAAACAATAGTCGTTTTTATTTCATCACACCTTAGGCTACATATACCCGAAGAATGATGGAAATGTCTTCGAGCATTCCACAACCTCATTAAGGAAGGAATGTTCTGAGAAGTACTGAAAAGCTAACAAAGTAACTTTGAATTGGCTGCGTGTTCCTTGTCTGTTTTTTTAGGAGTATGAGGAGGGTTCCACAGAGGAGGCCAAGTTCGTCAAAGATTTGGACAAATTTGAGATGATTCTGCAGGCTTTTGAGTACGAAACGCTAGAAAAAAGGCCGTTGGAATTGCAAGAGTTCTACAACACAACCAAAGGTATGGACTGTGCAAGAAATACTCCTTTGATGTTCAGTTTATTCAGTGGGTTTATTCGATGATTTGCATTTAAAAATTGCATTAAAAATGACCTACCATTCAGTTTTTGGCTTTGCCACAATTTCTGACTTAACTTCATTTGCATATATATCGCCAAAGTAACCTCCCAAATTATCATCAAAAATTTACTTGGATTAAAGATCGTATTGGCACTAAACACCACGCGAAGTTATTCAGTCTGGTTTGCTGTCAGTTAGAACAAAAATTCAAGATATGTAAGTAATTTCTAACAATCAGTCAATCAACTGATTTTGGGAACGAAGAGTGCTGTTGACAAAATTGTGTGATCAAAAGGGTGTGCATGTTTTTTCAAGAATTTCTCGAAAAGTGTAATATCCACTGAGCTGAAACTTCAACAGGTTAGGTTTTGAACATTCCTCTTTGGATTTTGAGTTGTGTAATTATTGGGAACGAACAAAATGTGACCTACTGAGGCAAAATAAGGAATGTCTCCCAAAACATTGTTTTGAGTAATCGACGCCTTAAGTCGGATATAGTAGAAAAATCATGTGAAAATTGATATTTGTTGTTTTGTATTTTTGAGTAGTCAAGGTACCCAAGATTCACACTACAAATTTTTTTTGGGAAAAAACACCCCACCAGTGGAAAAACTGAAGAACGTTTATCATCAGTGCCATTGGCGGCGCAATGCATGTCTTTTTTTTTTCAAAGCCGTTTTTCTCGAAATGAGGTTGGCGAAGATTGGCGGGACACTGTTGATGTTCCTGCGGCATATCTTTGGAATAAATTCAGCTACAGAAATAAATCTGGTATCATTGGAAAGCCGATGATTTGCGCTTTAACATGATGGGCATCACTTGAAAAGTCAAAGGTGGGGGTTATTCCTCATTATGCTATGGCAGGTCACAAATGCATGAACAGCAAACGATCCTATGTGCATTTAACCCTCACTTTGTAGTGATGGGTCACATATATGCTAATCTCAGATCTACAGAAGCAGGTGCATGATAGGACACGATGTGAACCTCCTTGTCAAGTATGATTTTAATAGGAGCTCATTGTCCCCACCCCCGCAAGAGTCCACAGTCATATAATGCCAAGGGCAAGTTGATTCTTCCGTAACCAGGATTTTTGAAGGGGTCATTCGTCACAGATACATATCGGAAACTATTCTCTGAATAGCCCTAGGGCATGAGAAAAAAATCAGTATGATCCTGCTAGCTGCATGTTGTCTCTGGAACACCGGGCACGTGCTATCAGATGAAATGGTCAGATTTGTGCGTCATATACCCTAGCTTTTGATTTTGAGAGATTGATGAGCACACATATAGGCAAATGGAGGCTTCGCAGTTTAAAATGTAGGCAATGATTTGAAATTTAGGCTGGGTCGCTGCCAGATTTACAGTCGTAACAAAAGTATTTGATCATCGGTAAATGATATAACACGTGGTAAAGGCGGTTACGGCACCTGTTGCACGCGCAGCGCTGCGATGCGCACAGATACCGCATGCTATCCCAGGGTTTTACTTGCCACATGCGAGGAGTGGTATTGCACCAACCCACAGGGATTGTTGTTATTCCTCGACTATATTATGAAAGTTCATAGCCAAACTTGTTGAAAGCCAGCAGATGATGATAAACTCACGACCCGGATGGCATCCATGTCACTTTGGGGCGCTGTGGTCCAATGGTTACGGTGTTCGACTTGTGTGCCGTGGTACACGGGTTCGAATCCTGACCGTGGGAACATGGTGCTTGTGCTCTTGAGCAAGGCACTTTACCATTATTGCTTCGTCCTTCGGATGGGACGTAAAGCCGTAGGTCCCGTGTGCTGTGTAATGCACGTTAAAGAACCCAGTAACACTTGTCTCTAAGAGGAGGGGTTTGCCCCGGTGTTTCTGGCAGTGGCAGCAATTATGTGCCGCAGCACCTAGCAAAAAGGTGCTACATAATGGGTCTCATAATGTTCATATACTTCATTTACCTGGCTTTGGTTGCATTCTCCCCCAGCGCTTTGTATCCTACAGTTATTATTATTATTATTATAAATATGTGAACTGAAATTGCTTGAGAAAAAGATAGCTAGAGTTCATTTGCCTTTTCTTTTGTGGGGTTTGGCCACAAGCCAAAACTTACAAACAAAACAAATTCCTGAATGCCGAAACGATTTGGGGTGTAGGAGGACACAATCTAGACTGGTGGCAGGTGGGGTGCGAGTTGAAGAGTCTGAATCGTGGGAAGAGTCCTGGCCCATTCATAGTGCTCGTCACGGTTCAGCACTGCCACAGACAGACCACTTTACCTGCCCTTGAACGGCAGGCTACACATACTCTGCGTGTCAGCATTTCCAAAAAAAAAAGCATTGTCAAAAAATGTAATTCCTTTTGCACTCCTGTGAGTGTGAGTGGAAAACAGGGTACCCCCTTTTTTTGCAGCTTGCTAGAAGGCCAGACTTGTTGGATTGTTCTGCTTCAAAGATTTTTAATGCATTTCTGTATTGTGATGGATTTGATTTTTTTTTTTGGGGGGGGGTTGTACTGTTCTTGCATGTGCTTTTCTCCAATGCCACCACGTCTGTGATTGTTTCAATTGGTTACAGTCAACTTCAGAGCAAGGTCGGCTAAAAACTGATGCACTTCATAGTTTTGCTGTTCACACTTGGGTTTTTGATACCACAGACAACTTTAACCCAGGGTAAAAATCGGTTCTCAGTGACTCGGACTCAGACTTGAACCAAATAACTAGAGACTCGGACTCGACCCAAATGACTCGAGACTCGGACTCGACCCAATTGACTCGCGACTCTGACTCGACCCAAATGACTCGAGACTTGGACTTGACCCAAATGACTTGAGACTTGGACTCGACCCAATTGACTCGCGACTCGGACTCGACCCAAATGACTCCAGACTCGGACTCGACCCAAATGACTAGAGACTCGGACTCGACCCAAATGACTCGAGACTCGGACTCGACCCAAATGACTCGAGACTCGGACTCGACCCAATTGACTCGAGAATCGGACTCGACCCAATTGACTCGAGAATCGGACTCGACCCAAATGACTCGAGACTCGGACTCGACCCAAATGACTCGAGACTCGGACTCGACCCAATTGACTCATGACTCAGACTCGGACTTGACTCCAGAGACATGAATACAATACTGATGTACAAACACATGTCTGTAGGAACAATCTTAAATTGTGCCCTATCTTGCCAAAAGATACATTTTGTAGGTGGTACAAGCAACTTAAAACCCTAACAGAACTCAACCCGTCAAACCCCAACGGCATGTATTGTTGGAATCTGTCAGGATGGGTACAGTACCCCTAAACTGACAGTCTTTTACATTGGGTTGGCACACCTCCAGAAACAAAGTCAGAAATATGTGTGTGCAGTTTCCCATCGTGTTGGAATTTCTAGGATGGGTATGGTTCCTAGTAAATCATGCTAGGGAGTTAGGGTTCATTCATCTGGCATGAGGCATTTTTTTGAGGGGAAAGTGGAAGGGGGGGGGGGGTCATGGTACAAGGGTAGTCGTCCGATATGCCTGGTTCCAGCACCGAAACAAATCAGCGTCCCAGACAAAGTGCAAATAAAAGAAAATATATTTTAATCGCTTAATGCAAGAATTCTGCGGGCTGTTGGTGCATTAGACCCAGCAGACCGTTACTGCACAAAGTGGAATATTGTTGTTGTATTTGTCCTAGCAAAAATAACAGTGGGATGGGGTCAACTTTTGTGATGGTTGTCATCAATCTGAAGGATAATGGAAGGATTTTATTTTTTTTTGTTCCGTTGTTGTTGCTTGCTTCTTTTTTGGGAGGGAAAGGGGGTGTTTTTAGTAATACACGAAAAAACTACGGTCCTTTCTTTGCCATACAAAGGATGGATCACAAGGGCGTCCCTTTTTATGTCTAATTTCTATGGTTCTCATATTTTTAATTTAGTTTTTGATTATTCCAACTTAGACTTGATGAATATTCAATTTCGAAATGCACTGAACAAGTTTCACATGCGGCAGCCAAAACTTCATCGATCAGTGACAAAGACCTTATTAAATTTATGAAAAGAACAGGTAGTGGTGGCGGATGTTTGACTGATTTTAAAGTAGAAGATTGAGCTGATATTCCTCGTGGAAGCTCTCATATTATGCCCGATAATGGCTTTCAAACACTTGTGGCATTTGACAAACAATAAAACCTTACCACTTTTACATTTTTCATCATCTGCTCGAGACCGTTCACATGTTTTGAATATTTCAATTGAATAAACAAAATTCCATTCAGACATTTGATTGATGATCAAATATTCAAATATTTGCATATTCAACACAGCCTCATGGGCGTCGCGAGGGGGGGGGGGCAAGGGGGGCACTTGCCCCCCCCCCCTGGAAAAGCAAAAAAAAAAAAAAAAAAAGGAAGAAAAAGAGGCGCGAAGACAAAGTGGTGTAAATGTAATGAGGGGGGGGGGGGGGCAGAATGTCCCTGCCCCCCTCTAAAACTGATAAATCGAGAATGTGTTCAGAAATACAAGCATTTTTGGCAAAAAAATATGTTGCCCCCCTCTAGAAAAAATCCTGGCGACGCCCATGCACAGCCTTCATTCTTTTCAAAGCCTTAACTGTGTTTATACGTTTTGTGGTGTTTTGTTTTTATGCTATCTTCCAGGCAAATTTACACATCCGACCGTTCAGGAATGGGTGGGCGAAGTCTACAGGCAACGAGATGGCGACATGGCTGACAAAAGCTGACATTTGTGTAAGCGTCCGTCACCAGAAATCTCAATCTTCTGAGGTAAATGAGATGACATTGTGCAAGCGTCCGACACCAGAAATCTCAATCTTCTGAGGTAAATGAGATAAAACCAGCTAATTCAGTGACTGATTTTGGCGGCTTCGAGGAAACAATGCAAAAATCCCTGGGGCCGCCATAAAAACCTCTCTGAGTTGTTTGAAATACTCCAAACATTCCGCAGCTGTTTCAAGTTTTCTTAAAATTGGGCAAATGGATGTTACGCAGCAGATTTGTTGCACTGTTTTGTTTCGTTGGCTACAGGTCTTCATATTGAGTTTGGGAGTATTGGATAGACTGTGTTATCATTTGCAGCTACCCAAAAAGTAATTGACAAAATTATATTGTTGAAAAGCATACTTGGTTTAAAGATAGAATGGCACTAAACTTCCTGTGAAATTATTTTTTTGTTGCAAGCTGTCATTTTGAAGAAAACAATAAAAGAAGGTAAATTTTGTTTTAATCCCAGACGCTGATTTCGGGGCAATTCAAAACATGACTTGGCAAGTTTTGAATTGAAATCGAGATCCTAGAATATTGTATTCTCGGAATATACGGCATTCACAGAGCTTAAACTTCATCAGGTTAGTTGTTCAGCACCCTTCTTTGGATTTTGAACTTTTTTTTGTGCTTCAAACGAAAAACAGTGCACAAACGACAAATGATATAAGTCCATTGACCCAAATCGTTGAACAGCTAACTATTTTATAAATAAAAGTTAAAGCCCAAAAAGTTTTCTGTTAAAAAAATCATATGGTAATTGATATAATTTAATCATAATTAAAATATATTCCTTCCACTGTTGCAGTGGTTGGGAGCCTGGCAGATCTTGATCAACATAGGGAGAATGATTTAACGTGATTAGACAGATGTTCTTTTTGAGCAATTTGAGGGGAATCATTGGGCATTACCAGAGGGAAAATACGCTTAAAGGGAATATACATCATTTGCTTTTGCTGTAATTTTCAGAAATGGATGGGATTGGGGGTCGGAAATATAAAGCAAATATAGTTACACTGACTTTTTGGAGGTTTGGGGTTCGAAAATGCTATAAAAACCAAGAAAAACGATCATTTTCCTGTAGTCTGGTTCCCTGACTCCATATAAGAAGAAACAGAGCAGTTTACATACATTGGGGAATTGTAAGGTCAGGGAACCAGTCTAGCTGGCTCGTACCCGTTCATAGGTTTGTAATCGATTGCAAACAAGTGCGATGGTCAATTGGGGCCAGTATTTGAAAAAAAAGCCAGTTATTTCCAACGCTGATCGGCCGATCAGCGTTGGAAATTGATACAAAAATACCACTTTTCTTGAAAATGACAGTATACCAGGTGCCATAATTTTACAGGATGCTTTAGACTGTCATTTACCAACATCCTATTAAGGTATTTCGCAAAAACTTGGTAGTTTTATTTTTCGATGTTTGCAAATGTTGTATATTCCCTTTAATAAAACTTCTTTGGTGTATTTTGCATTTTACAAAACAGTGTCACTTTTTTGGTCAATAGAGGGGGCACTTTCGTATGGACAGCCTCAGAGTCATTGGCGTTCGCATACAAAATGACTTGCCAGATTGGAGAACCATCAATGAAAAGTTCATTGACCTTTTCACTAGCTGGCCAGAGACTGCTATAGACCTGGTGCGTTTAAGGCGGAGTTAGAGGGCAATGGTTTTGTATTGCAAGGATTGGCATTAGTAAACCTTTTTGTGCATTCATTGTTAAATAATAAAAAAAAATATAATACCCTCAGGCATCCGCACCGCATCAGGTCTATTTGTACATGCCTGGCACTTTTTGGTCAACAGAGGGGGTACTTTCTCAGTAATGGTCAGTTTCGTCGAGCAGTGGGTATCTGTGAGCTGAAAAGTTGACTTTGTTTAATAATAGCAACAAATACCAATAAATCTGACTTGTACATTTAGATATTTCAAAGCTAATAAAAGGCTTAATATCTTTACTTTGAGCTGTGCATAATTCACTTTGTTTGGAAATGAAAATAATTTCGATGGAGTTATAGGCATCTTTGTTCATGTACGTGAGTGTTTTTGTTTTTGGGCAATTTGTGAATAGCATAGGTTTAAACTGAACACGTATTTAAGCTTTCTAGTAAATAATCTTCTGAGGCCAAAAAAAGTCTCCGGTTTCTGGTAGCGCGCGCGTCGCCGTAGCCATGCGCGTCGGCAAAATGAAAAAAGTTTTTTTTTTCAATGAAAGATGATGTCTCAAAACCGCCAAACTCACTGGTTTGACTGGAATCCTGCTGCTGCACAATTTTAACGTGTTTTTAGATTGGGTTATGGTCGAGAATAAGCTGTATGTGACCTCTCTGGACTCCCATTATATTTGCACTAAGTTTAGTCGGGCACCATTTGCAGTCATCAGCCGACATTTGAAGCAAAAACAGGTAAAAAAAAAAGCCGCGTCGCCGCACCACTTTTTGGGCGAGCTCCATACCAGAAACCGGAGACTTTTTTTTTTTTGGCCTAAGCTTTAATTCTATAGTTCCGGCCCTTGACATTCCGGGCCCAAAACGGATAATGATTTTTTTTTCACCTGAATTTTTGTAGAAAAAGTATGAATGTAGTTACCTTTATAATACCGTTTCATGTGAACCGAAACACTTGTCAGTTGAAAGTAATACATATTTGATTGATGCACTTGTCACTGTATGGGCCCCTACAATATATTTTTTTTCAACAGACACCCCTCAAATGCATCTTTTGTGTTCCATTTGTATACTCAGTCTTTTGTAATATGTTGCTATTCTCCGAGGATTTTCAAGGCCAAATGTTTTTGTAATGCGTCTGTAAATTTCCATGTGTCGAAATTTCTTTTTCTTCAGCGGTAAATTCTCTAATATTTAATGTTTTCCCGTTAGAAAAAACATCTCCAATGATTGACTTACAGTTTAGTGGTTCAAACTTTGTAATGAAATAGTTCCTGAGCTGGAGAGAGCGGCTAGCTGGCTGCCTGTCGAAAGGTGCAGGCGCGGCGCTAGGACCAAAACTACCTACGCTGGCCAAATAACGATTTGTATGCCCAATCACGATTTGTATGTTCTCCTTTGTTTCGCTATTGGAGCATTTTGTGAGCCATGAACTTGAGGGTATGTAAAACTAAAAAAAGGAGAAGCCGTGCACTAGGAATGCTATCTCGTGTATCTGTGAAATTTTGATGAAATTGGGCCCAGAAATTGCTCTATCGCAATGGAGCACAGGCATCATTTTTCAAAATGGCGATGGACTACAGGACTACTTTTAGGGGTGATCGTGTGTGGATGGTATTTTCTTCCAAAGGTGATCGGATTACCCCAGAAATTGAACAGAAAATGAAAGATGATGAAATAAGCTTTACTTTAATGGGTGTCTCAAACACCTTGGAGAGTCGTGAGTATTTTTTAATAATTTTGGGAAGTGCGCGTAATTATCACAGGTCCGTAGATCGGTGGTCTGCAACCATTAATAAAAGCAACAGCGCCCCCATATATCAGGAAATCGGAGATTGACTTATTAACAAATTAATCCCAATTATTTTTTTTTAAATTTCCTTACAGATTGGAGAAATTGATTATTACGCAAACATACTTTTAGTGCAAAATTAATTTCACGGAAAGGTGTTTTTCAAGTGTTGGGGGAGGGGGGGGGGCTATTCATTTTCATCAGTCAACCATGAGTCAACTGTTTTCAGATCTCCGCTTTTGTACCTTGGAGATATATTTCAGTCCATCAGTATCGGTCAATGTACCTAATAAATAATTAGTCAGTTCGGTTTTTGATTATCACACCAGCTGAAAATTAAAAAAATTAAATACAAATTGGTGTAATTTTTTGCCAATATATTTTGGTCAAGATATTGAACGACAGACTGAAATGACATTTTCAGGCTGCGGCCGGCTCGCGGCATTTTTCTAAGCACTGTCTGTTTTTACACTCGATCACGCTCCTGTTCAAGAAATGTTCACGAGCTTCAGAATATGTGGAAGTTCACTCCCCGGCCCCAGGGTGTCGAGCAATACGCGCTCACCGCTACCTGCTCTCTCACCCTGGTATTGGACATTTGCATATGTGCAAGATTTTTGAACACGTATGCAAATGAGGAACCGTCTGGTGCCTGGATATGCGTTACACATTAGCGTTTGTTTTTGTATGCGGTGTCTGGGGTAAAAACAGAGTCAACTCGTAGCAGCGCGAGCACGGCGTGAGTTACGAAAACACGATTTTTGAAATCAAACTGTTACGATCTTATCGAGACAACATGCAGTATCATATTTCCTATTAATATGAGCAAATTGGAAAGGAAATTAGTATTTTCGAGAAGGCGTGGACGAATGATCGCGAAAACACGTACTGAAGATATAACTGAAGGACTCGTGCCAGTCTAACAAAGGTCGTCCCACGTGTACACGTAAACAAACTTTACAAAACACAAGGCCGCTCTGCACACTGCACCATTTGTGTAGTCGACCGTGCATGGGCGCCGGCGTAGCACTAGCCTAATCACCTACAGACGCCATGAGACGATTAAGTACCGCCAAAAATCATTGAAAATTAACCGTGCATAAAATACGCCTGGATTGTGGATTGTGAGGCAAATTGGTTAGGCTCGAAATACGATCCTCGCAATCGAGTAGTTTTTGGGGTCGGGAGTGAAGATTGTCTTTGCAAGATTGACGTTGACTGCGCCATGTCTTCAGCGCAAGACGGCTTGGACACCACCCTGGTTGCTTGGGACTACGTGGCCATCGCTACGTACTTCGTCTTGGTGCTGTGTGTCGGATTGTTCGTAAGTCAACATTTCGATTAAGGCATTGATTTTTGTCCTTACAAATACAAGAGATGTAGTGGCAGCCCCACAAATGTGGCCAATTTACTGGCCTAGCCTACCTCCGTAAATGAAGGCCACGCACCCGAACATGTAGCCCTGTCACGCCCCAACTATCGCATCGGTCCCAACTATAGTTGGGACTGTCCCAACTATAGTGCGGCAGTTGGGTCGGCCCAACTATAGTTAGGACTGGAGTTGCGCTGGATGCTTCATGCTTGATAGATCTTGTTGGATTACTTGATGTTCCGCGGCGCTGGCACCGTGTATTCGTCGTGCATGCATGCCGCAAGGCTGGCCGGTCACGTGGTACTGCCTAGTTGGATGAGTTGTCCAGCTGCTGCTGGGTTTTATTGTCCAGCAACATTTTGCAAAATTCAAAGATTGCCATGGCCGGCCAACTATAGATGGGCCCCACCCATAGCTAATGTCAAAGGTCCCAAGTAAAGTCGGACAGTATGTAACAGAGCTGTAGGGAATGTTTTATAGTCGTACATCAATGTAAACTATAGTTGGGACCGCCAAATAAAAATATTGCGGTGGCCCAACTACAGATGGTCCCCACCCATAGATAATTTCATTGGTCCCAAGTAAAGTCAGATGTGTATTAGAGTTGTAGGGAATGTTTTATAATCGTACAACAATGTACACTATAGTTGGGACCGCAAAATAAAAAGATTGGAGTGGCCCAACTATAGATTCGCCCCATCAATAACTAATTTCAGTGGTCCCCAGTAAAGGCAGACATGTATCAGAGCTGTAGGGAACGTTTTACAGTTGTACATCAATGTCAACTATAGTTGGGACACCGCAAAATAAAAAGATCGGAGTGGTCCAACTATAGATGGGCCAGCCCAACAGTGGAACTTACAGTTGGGACCGTCCCAACTATAGTTGGGACAGGCCCAACTATAGTTGGGCCAGCCCAACTGTGGAACTACAGTTGGGACAGGCCCAACTATAGTTGGGACAGGCCCAACTATAGTTGGGACCGATGCGACAGTTGGGGCGTGACAGCCCCACTGTGTGGCCGTCGGTATGCTGCGCTGAACCTTAGGTTCAGCGCCGCATACCGACGGCCACACTAGTGAGTAGTGGGGCTACCGAACATGTAGCCCCATAAATGTGGCCAATTTACTGGACTACCTCCGTAAATAAAGGCCACACTTCCACCGTGTACAAAAACATGTCGAACTTTGTCAAATTTTGATTTTCACATTTAGGCTTAGTTTGTAGTTTAGTTTTGCTTTAGAAGCATACTCGCCCTCTTAATAATAATACTAGGCTCATCAGGGCAAGATTACCATATGCGAAGTTCACTAATTTTCCTCTGTATTGACTAACAAGCCCCCAGATTGCAATTTCATGTCATCAAAGTCAATTTGAGCTGTGAGAAAATACAAGCATTTTCTTAGAAAACACTTAGAATTTTTCAGTCCACTCTCATAGGGTTTGTACACAGAGTGTTGAGTGAACTTCGTATATGGAAATCTTTCCCTAATCAGAAAGTGCTGCCTTTTTCAGATGTCTAATTTTCGTGAAATTTCAAGTTGAAATTTTGATACGCAAATTACGTGTGCAAACGAATCTGGAAATTTCACAAAAACCAGACATCTGATCGCCAGACCATGTCCGAATGTTAAAAAGGCGATAAGTTGGGTCCAAGTTACTAGGACTAGCACTGGCTAGGGTCGTAGGCATTAGCCAGTCCCGATGAAGGCAAATCAAGTAGTTCTCCTTTGGGAAAGAATTCCATACACGGCCGCCACTCATATTCCTTAATACTAATATGACCTGAAAAGTACCAAAAGTTGTAAATCTGATGAAGAAACACTATTTTAGGAGTGCAAAAATTCTTTGATGTAACTGTTTTTTGTCATGGCCCATAGACTTTGTACAGGAGGTCTGAGTGGAGGCCGTGTATGGAATTCTTTTTCCCCAAAAATGGTAAAAAGAATACAAATGAGAAAGAAAGTTACCCCGGGTAGATCAACATTCATGACATTCCCTAAGAATAAGATCGCTTAAATTGTTGACAACAACCGGTAATTATAATGTGAAAAAAAAAAATCAAAAATATTCTGATAAACAATACTGGTCACATAATTATGTCCACCGAGCAGTGCCATCAAACTTTTGGCTGATTGATTGAGCACGTGTGTGACATCACGGTCGTCAATCGAAGAAAAACAAGTCACGCTTTTCAACGACTGTTTCATGTATTGATACGTGCCCTGCGCCGAATGACAGTATGGGCTTTTAATACATCCACGAAACGTACCCGTTCTAAACAAATAACGGAAGTTAACCACTTGAAATCCATCTCAAACATCGTAGGCCTAACTAATCAAGTGACGAAAGAAAATGCCATCGTTAGTAGGTTTAAGAATAAAAAAAACCCCACTGACATGACTGAGCATGTTTCAATACACGAAACAGTTGTTGATAAAGCTCAGTCATGTCAGTTGGTTTTTTCATTCCGAACATTTTTGATTTTTTTTCTCAAATTTCCGGTTGTTGGGAACAATTTAAGCGGTCTTACTCAGAGGGAATGTCATGAATCTGTTGATCTATCCAGGGTAACTGTCTTTCTCATTTGTATTCTCTTTAGGCCAAAAAAAAAAAGTCGGCAAAATGAAAAAGTTTTGTTTACAATGTAAGATGATGTCTCAAAACCGCCAAACTCACTGGTTTGACTGGAACGCTGCTGCTGCACAATTTCAACGTATTTTTAGATGGGGTTACGATCGAGTATAAGCTTTATGTGGCCTCTCTGGACTCCCCTAAATTTTGCACTAAATTTAGTCAGGCACCATTTGCAGTCATTCGCCGACATTTGAAGAAAAAAAAAGTAAAAAAAAGAAGAAAAAAAAAGCCGCGTCGCCGCACCACTTTTGGGGCAAGCTCCATACCAGAAACTGGAGACTTTTTATTTTTGGCCTGACGACTTCTGTTTTTTGGGTTGGGCCTTATGTCCTCTGGTATTTCAGTTTTCAAAACATGTGGAATTAATGTCTCTATTCGGTGGAGCGCTAATATGGAGTGTACCTTAGTTCCGGCGGTCCACTCAGTAGAGCTAGTCATTGTGAATGTTCTGAATGTGAGCAATGACGCATATCGAACTGTCTAGACAGGTTGTCTGTAAATAGAAATAATTTGTATCCCATATCTGAATTGTACAAGGGCGGATCCAGAGAGGATACTGCCGGGGGTTGGGGGTGGGATGGAGAGCATTTTGGTCACTGACGGCCAGTAGTGTGGGGGAAGGGGGCAGGGTGGGCACCAGCATGTTATGAGGGGCCACCAACGCTGAACCCAACAACAACTTTTCCCCTAAATTTCCAGGCAACCGCAAGTCCTGCAAATTTGAAGGGGGGGGGGACCTCTTTTGACGCTGGTTGGCACTTTGTTTCCTTATCATTTTATTCACATTTCATCCAACCAGGGAAGTCAAAAGTAGTCATCTGGATTCCTCTTCGTTTTAGTTCCTGAAAGTTTTTTTTTTTTTAAAGACACTTCCTTTGGACTTTGCAAGCCGGAAATTTCAAATATTTGGGGGGGGGGGGCCTGAGGGGGGACCTGAGAGAGGAACTGGCAATTATTAACCTTAACAGAACTCGACCAATCAAACTCCAAGGGAATGTTTTGTTGGAATACATCAGGATGGGTACAGTACCCCTAAACATTGCCTTTTGCAATGGGTTGGCACACCTCCAGAATCGAAGTCAGAAATACGTGCGTGCAGTTTCCCATATGGTGGTGGAATTTGCCAGGATGGGTGTGGTTCCTAGTAAATCACGCTAGGGAGTTAGGGTTAAAGTCTTGAACTAGGTCACATGTTCATATTACTTGTTGGACAATGTGGTATTTGGACATTATTATACAGTTGGGAAAGATTTCCATACGAAGTTCACTCAACACCCTGTGTACAAACCCTATGAGATTGGACTGAACAATTCTAAGTGTTTTCTAAGAAAATGCTTGTATTTTCTCACTGCTCAAATTGACTTTGATGACATGAAATTGCTATCTGGGGGCTTGTTAGTCAATACAGAGGAAAATTAGTGAACTTTGTATATGGAAATCTTTCCTACAGTTGTATTAAATCAAGGAGAGTGATTTTTTGTTCTCCAGAACATTTCTGTTTCTGCCTACACAGTCTTTCACAGGGGAATCTGATTTCTTCAAATGATGGCACCTTTTAAAATTATTTTATTTGGAGTTTCAGTTAAGATTAAGAGTCAGGCTAAGATTGATTTTGATTTATTCAGTCAATGATTAAAACACAAACACAGGAATTTGTAACGTTGGGACTTGCATAAAAATGACTCACTTTAAAATACCATACAATTAAAACAGTAACCACAAAAGATTAGTATGTAAAAATATGTACATACAATTACATGTACATTACTCTGCATGTATGCATACACATTTGATAATTATAATTTTATGATTCCTGGACAGACGGATATGTATGCATTTTATGCTCCATTGCACTCCTTACACATAATTAGTACTCAAGTGGCATATTGGGCTTTTTCTGCCGGTTGGTGTCTCATGTTTAACATCAGTTCACTTGCAGATCGATGTGAAAAGCTAAGGCCAAAAAAAAATAGCCTCCGGTTTCTGGTATGCGCGGGCGTCGCCGTAGCCATGCGCGTCGGCAAAATGAAATAGTTTTTTTTTTCCAATCAAAGATGATGTCTCAAAACCGCCAAACTCACTGCTTTGACTGGAATCCTGCTGTTGCACAACTTTAACGTGTTTTTCGATAAGGTTATGATCGAGAATAAGCTTTATGTGGCCTCTCTGGACTCCCACATATTTGCACTAAGTTTAGTCGGGCACCATTTGCAGTCATCAGCCGACATTTGAAGCAAAAAAAAGCCGCGTCGCCGCACCACTTTTTTGAGCAAGCTCCATACCAGAAACCGGAGACTTTTTTTTTTTGGCCTAAGCCTAAATTTTGCTAGGACGCTTACGAACCCACTGGCCCATTGCCATAGACTCTGGCCGACTCACCTTGAACGAGAGAGTACCATGCAATTACGAACACAGAATATTCTTCCCCAAATAAAATACCAGACAAACAGATACAGAGACGCGTACCTTATTTTAGAATACTTGTCAATAGTATTTTAACTTAAGATCAATCCCTGAGAACTTTTAACTGATGTATTTAAACTGTTTTTTTTTACTGATTTATTCATTTATATATCAGTTTTTAAAATCATAATAAAGTGAATTTATTGTTGATTTGCTGATAAAACAGAATTTGGCATATGGAAAACTTTAGTATAAGTTTGATTGACGAATCAATTTTATCACGTAAATCATGTTTTACTAATCTTTTTTAATGTAATTTAAGGAGTCCAATTTCTTAATCTTTTAAACGTAATTCAGGGAGTTCATTCATTAATCAAATATCAAGTCAATGTTCAAGTTCTTATTTGGTAACATAATCGAATATTGTCATTGAAATTATTAATATTTTTTTTTTATGGAATATTGACCAATCATACTCTATTCTTCAGTGCAATCTCGATGATTGTAATATTACTAAATATACTGATCTTTTAATGTCAATCGTATTTCAAACATCACTTTTCAAGGTGTTTTTTTTTTTACAATTTAAATGGGGACCGTATCTTATTGCATGTTTGTGTAAATTTCGTAATAATTGATTTTTTTTGTTTCTAATGGTTTAACATTGTATTGTCATCTTAATTCGGCACATGCTGCCACGATGATTTTTAATAAACCAGTCTTTCTATCTACGTATCATTCAAAAGTGAATAACTTAGTATTGCTATTGTAAAATAGGAATTTAGAAAAGGAATCTTGTTCGGGATGGAACCGAAAATAGAATGGGGAACGCAACTTTAAAACTGGAAAAATTTGAGCTTAAGGCAAAAAAAAAATACTTGGTCTCCGGTCAGTGTGCGTGTCGATTTTAATCGTGCGCGTCAACCTTTTTTTTTTCTCCAAATTAACACGGAAGCTACAACAGCGCCCTCTATTGCCGCGCCTCCTCAAATTTTTGTACCAAGGAGCACTAAGGAATGGGGAAATTGCACCAAGGCAAATGATAAAGGGCACCAAGGCAAATTATGGAGGACACAAATGTATAATGAGGACACAAAAAAGCAAAATAGTACCCACCTTGTCTGTACAATACAAGCTTGAAAAAAAAAAAAAAAAATTTGGGCCTAATATCACAAATTTTAATTTATTGCTACCGGTAAATCCTCTTTTCTTGCAGTCGTTATGTCGCTCCAACCGTGGAACAGTCAGTGGTTATTTCTTGGCCGGACGATACATGATTTGGTTGCCGGTAAGTAGGACATTGACATTCAGGTAAAAAAAAAGGTACGAAAATCATGTATCAATGTTTTTATTCAAGGTACCGGGTAGATGACAGTTTGTGTTTCAGATATTCAGTGGTAGGGCCTATACAGGGTGTTTCAATAAAATGGAAACCCAACTTTGAAGAACCAGTATGGACAGACTAAATCTTTACTGGCTATAAAACTGTTATCATCTGAAAGCGTAATCGCTATGCTTTTCAATGATACCTTGTTTACATTTCCAGGGTCACGCATCAGTGAGCGCCACTAATTTTAATGCAAAATTGCAGTTGGGTCATTTTCATGTCAAACACAATAGGCACGGTGTGCATAAGAATACGTATTCAAGAAGAAGACAGAGTGCAGAAAAAGAAACCAAAAAAACAAGTCGGGTTGATTTCAAAACTGGATTTTATTGTTTGTCATGAATTTTTCGTTTTGACCAAGCCACGTTCAAAACAATGTGCCGTTTTCCCGAGGATTAACATTTAAGCCATTTCACAGACATTTCCGTAACAATAGGCACACCGTGCCCAGTTTTTTTTTTTTTTTTATGAAAGTGAACCAACTGCATTTTTGCATCCCAGTTTTCAAGACAATGATGCTCAGTGATGCATGACTCAGAAAATCTAACCACGGTATCATTGAAAAGCATAGAGATGATGCTTTCAGATGATACCAGTTTTATAGCCAGTAAACTTATCGTCTGTCCATACTCATGCTTTGAAGCTGGGTTTCCTTTTTTTTTGAAACACCCTGTATAGGTTGCTTCAGGTACATTTTAAATTGAAAAATCCTGAACTTTTAATACTTACAATGTATTTATGCAATGTAGAGAGTTCCTATCAATTTTTTATTCAATATCACAGCTCTGGAGTTTTTTTTTTATAAAGGCCCAGTGGTCATTGAATTCTGCAAACTACATCCAATCATTGTGGAGAACATTGCATGCGTCTCATCACTTTTGTTGGCATGACTGTGAGCTGATGGGAAATTCTGATGAAATCAGATAACCGTTATTCGGTTTGAAAAAAAATTAGGATAACCGGATTTTGACAATCTCCGATTTCTCCCGCCACTATTCGATTATCAACTGAACATAGCATTATTTTGAATCAAACATTAAAAAAATCTGAACTCTTGATGTCTTGATCAGATGATGAAACACGTCCACACTGTTAATATTTATTGTAAAGGTTGCTAACAACATTCGTGCTCAGTACATGTAAAAGTTGCTAACAACATTCGTGCTCAGTACACATTATGTACAATGTGGACCTTCCATTGAAAAAACCCCCAAACAGAACGTACAACATGTAATTTGTACTAAACAAACTGCCGGTATGTTGTCTGTAGAGTTGGGAATTCATTCATAGTTTATGAATTATGAATAATTCGATTTTCTCGGGTTGACTTGCATGCTATAGGAAACACTGCTTTTGTTTGCAATCATATTCATCATGCTATCAGGAAAGCGGATCTAGAAACACAACAGCTGCATGTACACAATGATAGAAAAAGGAAAAAAAGAATTCAATTTCAATCGAAATTTTCCTGGCAAGTAGTTAATCCGGCTTGCATTTAAACACATAAGCCCAGGTTTTGCTATTTTTAACATTTTTATTTTTAACCTTTGGTTCATTCATCGCTAAAGGGAATGTACATCATTGGCTTTTGCTGCAATTATCAGAAATGAACTATTTGAGGGGTTAATATATAATAGGTCAAATATTGTTACACTGACATGTTTGAAGTTTTGTGTTCGGGAATGCTGGAAAGATAAAAAAAGACAAAAATATTCAAGTACTCTGGTTCCCTGACTCCACTGAAGATGAAATGGATCAATTTATAGATGCCAGAAATTGTAAGGTAAAGGAACCAGTCTAGCTGGCCTGCACCCCTTTATGAACATGTATCCAATAGCAAACAAAATGTGGCCTGAAAAAAAAATTGGTAAATTTGGAGCAGTAGTTGAAAAATAGTTGGGTTTTTCCAACGGTGGTCAGCCGACCACTGCTGGAAATGTAAACAAAAATACCATTTTCTGGAAAATGACTTCACACCAGGTGACATAATTTTACAGGATGCTTTAGACTGTCATTTACCAACATCCAAGTAAGGTATTTCATAAAAACTTGGAAATTTTATTTTTCGATGTTTGCAAATGAAGAACTCTCAGATGCCCAAAACGCCTGATGTCTTGTTCTAAATCCACATTTGAATTTCAAAGTATGATAAAGTTGCACAGAAACACCTGTAAAAACTACCACAGGAGACATACACGTACTTGATATAATTATCATCCACGTGTGACTGAGTTTAGTACAGAATTTGTTCATGGAGGACAAAAAAACACCTAGCTTTTAGCATTGAAGTGAGGTGTCAAAATGATTCATGACGTTTTTTTAGTACCACAAGAAACAGCTTTTAATAAAATACCCCAAGAATGGAAAGTTCGGTTGAATTGTACCTCATTCTCCTAGTGGGAAGTCAATATTCAATGTAATGTGACCTTGAAAGGGTCACCTATATTGACCTCTGTAATTCACATGAGTAGGTCTACGTACTTTGCGTGAAATTCTACCATATTTCGCAGTGGTCTGTGATATTACTTAAAAATGTTTTTCCACAACCACATCTGGTGTTAGTTTAAAGGGAATATACATCATTTGCTTTTGCTGTAATTTTCAGAAATGGATGGAATTGGGGGGTTGGAAATATATAGCAAATATAGTTACACTGACTTATTTGAGGTTTTGGGTTCGAAAATGCTATATAAACCAAGAAAAACGATCATTTTCCTGTAGTCTGGTTCCCTGACTCCATATAAGAAGAAACAGAGCAGTTTACATACATTGGGGAATTGTAAGGTCAGGGAACCAGTCTAGCTGGCTCGTACCCGTTCATAGGTTTGTAATCGATTGCAAACAAGTGCGATGGTCAATTGGGGCCAGTATTTGAAAAAAAGCCAGTTGTTTCCAACGCTGATCGGCCGATCAGCGTTGGAAATTGATACAAAAATACCACTTTTCTTGAAAATGACAGTATACCAGGTCCCATGATTTTACAGGATGCTTTACACTGTCATTCACTCACATTCGAGCAAGGTATTTCAAAATAATTTGGTAGTTTTTTTTTCTTTTGATGTTTGCAAATGTTGTATTTTCCCTTTAAACAGGCATGCAACTTTTCCTTGGATCAGCTGATTTCCTCTTTTGTTACTTCCCATGTGTGCCATTGAAAATAGAAAAACACTGTACAAAGTCTGGGAAAAATTTGAATTTCCTCTTTTTTTGTGATTTCCCAGTTGCATGCCTGTTTAAAAGGTCAATAGCCGGGCATCCTCATAATGGGGCCGAAATTAATCCAAGTGCGGACACATACATGTAGTAACCAAAATGGAAAGTAACTTTTTACAAAATTATGTTTTTAGTCCAAAGTGAAACACATAGCTAGCTTGGACAAGATCCCTCGTTCTATACCTCATAGTCTTCTCAGTGCACTTTACAACCCTTCCAAGTTTTTCAAAACCACTTTTGCCCACAGAAAAGCATAGAGTTAGCATTCACACTTACAATTCCTTCGAGGTCATCTTTTGTGGACTATGGATAACACTTCAAATCCCAGCACAAAAAAGTACTTATGTGTGCATGGTTAAGCAGCAGCAGGACAAACAATGAGCAGGCAGATATGGTGAAACTGCAGGGTTTTAAAGGGTTTTTACATATTGCTCTGAATATTGACTTCCCTCAAGGACGATTAGCAAAATTGGCCCATATTTATGAACATCTTCATCCCTTAAAAATTCGTTAAAGAGCCATTTTCCCTTGAAATTACAGTTAACTACATTTTCACGGACTTTTCAACCGATTAAGCCAGATTAGGGGTCCTTGAAAACACCCTTAAGAAAATCCTTAATGTTTACCCATGGAGATAGACCCATTAGGTCAATTACCGTTAGGCCAAAAAAAATAAGTCTCCGGTTTCTGGTATGGAGCTTGTCCAAAAAGTGGTGCGGCGACGCGGGTTTTTTTTTTTTTTTACCTGACTTTTTTGCTTCAAATGTCGGCTGATGACTGCAAATGGTGCCCGACTAAACTTAGTGCAAATATATGGGAGTCCAGAGAGGCCACATAAAGCTTATTCTCGATCATAACCCCATCTAAAAACACGTTAAAATTGTGCAGCAGCAGGATTCCAGTCAAACCAGTGAGTTTGGCAGTTTTGAGACATCATCTTTCATTGAAAAAAAAAACTTTTTCATTTTGCCGACGCGCATGGCTACGGCGACGCGCGCGCATACCAGAAACCGGAGGCTTTTTTTTTTTGGCCTTATGTATAACCAATGATAATCCTCAGTGGTCAGGGTCATTAAAAAAACGTGAAAGTACCCTTACAGGATTAGCCTTATATAAGCCCATGTAAATGTCTGTGAAACATCTCTTAAAGATTCTTTTCACAGAGAAATGGACTTTTAATGAAAATTTAAGGGATCAGATGTTCATAGTATCTCCCACTCAAGGATACTCCCTCCTCTTTGGCTGCTCCTCTTGCCACCTCCCCCACCCACCCCTCATCTTGGTCCCCCAAGAAACTAACAAGTTTGGCCTATACAATCTACATATGCAATCTACATGTACCTCTTTCTTTGAAGGTTGGTGCGTCTCTGTTTGCGAGTAACATTGGCAGCGAGCACTTCATTGGTCTTGCTGGCTCAGGAGCTGCTGCTGGTATCGGAGTTGGTGCTTTTGAACTGAACGTAAGTCAGCCTAAACAAAAACAGCCTCAAATACACACATGCCAAAATCTGCTTACTGTTAGCCAAAAATCCCTGCTTATTATAGCAGAAAATTCTGTGTTTATGGTTAGCGTATTTCACGGTTTAGCAGGGAATTTTGGCTTCTGCGCATGCGTGCATCCCATGATGCTGTGTGTTGACAGGGTTAGCACAAAGTTTTTCTGCTAGCGCGGTTAGCACAAAATGCTGATCGTAGGGCGGAAGTATATACTTAGCAGAAGCTTGAAATTGGGCCCTGACCAGCTTAGCTTGTTTAGTAGCTTGTTTGGGGGTAATCAGGGCCCAATTTAATGGCACTGCTTAACAGTTAGCAGAAAAGTTGTGCTTACTAAAGCAGAAAAATGTGCTTACACTGTTTCACGGCATGGATGTGCTAACGGTCGCGCGCATAGAGATTTCTATTTTGTCACTAAGTTAAAGGGAACATCATTTGCTTTTGCTGTAATTTTCAGAAATGGATGGAATTAGGGGGTTGGAAATATATAGCAAATATAGTTACACTGACTTTTTTGAGGTTTTGGGTTCGAAAATGCTACAAAAACCAAGAAAAACAATCATTTTCCTGTAGTCTGGTTCCCTGACTTCATATAAGAAGAAACAGAGCAGTTTACATACATTGGGGAATTGTAAGGTCAGGGAACCAGTCTAGCTGGCTTGTACCCGTTCATAGGTGTGTAATCGATTGCAAACAAGTGTGATGGTCAATTGGGGCCAGTATTTGAAAAAAAGCCAGTTTTTTTCCAATGCTGGTCGGCCGATTAGCTTTGGAAATTGATACAAAAATACCACTTTTCTTGAAAATGACAGTATACCAGGTGCCATGATTTTACAGGATGCTTTACACTGTCATTCACTAACAGTCCAGCAAGGTATTTCAAAATGATTTGGTAGTTTCATTTTTTGATGTTTGCAAATGTTGTATTTTCCCTTTAAGCAAATGTTTCTTCTGAGGTAAGCGAGCCTTTGGCTGTGCTTACCACTTACGATCTCCATGAAATAGATGGAGGCCCTTTTAGGGTTAATTCATTTGTGAATGAGCGTAGCTCTGCAGATGTTAACTTGTCATGAGAAATGGGCCACCTGTGGTGAATTAAGAAAGTGTTCTTCTTTTGTTATACCCATCCATCATTGATAATATTTTTAATTTTTGTTTATTTTGGTGATGGGCAGGCATGTCTGCTCATTCAGCTGCTGGGATGGGTGTTTCTGCCGGTTTTCATTGCCAGTGGGGTGAGTTGTTTTTCTTGAATTATGCACACAAAAATAAGTTCACAGAAATTTTAAACACAACCACCATTTTAAAGTTCTGTCCACGGACCACACAAAAGGTGTGCATTCTTTCAGCAAACCGAAAACAATTCACACACATCCCTATGTGATTCGTTTTCGTTTTCGTGAAAGAACACTTTTTGTGATCCGTGGACAGAACTTTAAAACGGTGGTTGTGTTTAAAAGTGCGTAACTTGCAAAGTACATCAGTGATTTGAATGATTCTTGCACTAAAAGAAAGCTCATGAATTGAGCTTTCATATCCTAGATTTTGAAAGTGCTACATGGAGAACTCCACTAAAACAATGGTCCCGACATTTGAGTTTTTTTTTTTTTTACTCACCCTGTAGTACAGATGCTACTGAGTTATGTAGGCCGCAAAGCATAAAAACAGCACCCAAAAGCAGGGAAAAATTGCCAGTCTGTTTGTACATGTAATTTGTCATCAACAAATCTTCCCCTTTTTTCGGGGTCTTATACATGTAGGTTTACACCTTACCGGAGTATATGCGGAAACGTTATGGTGGGCAGAGGATTCGTGTCTACCTCGCTATGCTGTCGCTCGTCCTATACATCTTCACCAAGATCTCGGTAAGTTTCAAGTCCCACTTGCTTTTCAGAGTGTGAACAAATATCGGGAAAAATTTAAACTGTTTCCAAAATGGCAGTTGGAACGTATTGTTTCGTGACTGTTTAATATGCGTTCATATTTTACACAAATAGCAGTCTAAAGCTGTGATGTCTGCATCCAAGTTGTATGAAATATGTGAGGTGTTTTGGGAAAATGAGACAAAGCTGGACAGAGGTCGAAATGAGGGTTTGTGGGTATTAGGAAACAATAAAATTCTTCTGACAATTATGCTGTATGATGCACTTTAATCGGACATTCCATTGACAAGTTAAGGCTTTTTTAAACTTTACATTTATCGACATGTCGAAAAAATATAATGCTGAGAAAAAAGCCTTTTTAGTTTCGAGTTTTGTGGTCACGAAAATGAAAGATGCCAATTGATTTTCCTTAAAAGGACTTTTAATCCACGATATTTGTACTATTTTTTTAAAATAATGTGTAAAAGACATATTTCAAAGATTACAAATATCAACAAATCCGAAAATTGAAAAAACCACGCCCAGTTTTTTTTTTGTTGCATTTTTTGTCACAACAGTCTGTGCCCATAAGCCTGTGGACCAATATGTGGATTAGGTTTTCAGTTCCTGCCTGAATGTGTGGGCTTTTCCGAGAATATCATTCTGGTGGTTTTCCTCCCACCACTACGACTGTAATTTCCGCCCACATCTTCTACCAAGGGACTCACTGCAAATAATTCCTGTCCATCCTGTTCTGGTTGTAGGGCTGTCAGATGTTGTCGAAATAAATATATAAAAAAAAAAACTCAATCAAATACAATAATTTCCTGATCAGACTCTTTCTGGTAATGAAACCAAGGATTCCTCAAAAGTACTGTAGGCACTGTAGCTCGCAAGCTTGAAGAAACCTGTAGAGAGAAGACGATAAGAAGAAATTACAGTTTTAGAGGTGGGAGGAAAAGCCCAGAGGAATATTCTGAGGAAAACCCACGGAATCAGGCAGGGACTGAAAACCCAATCCACATATTGGCCCGGGTGGGATTCGAACCCGGGTCACAGCGGTTGAAGGTGTGGAAAGTACTGCTAAGTGGAGTGCTGTGGCCTCGTGGTTAAGGGTACTGATTCGTGGTCTGTGGGTAAAGCTGCAGGTCGTGGGTTCGAGTCCTGGCGGGGTCATGGTGCGTGTGCCCTTGGGCAAGGCACTTTGTCACTCATTGCTTCTCTCCACCCAGGAGTAAATGGGTACCTATGAGGGCAGTGATGGTTATTGTGATTGAATTAGCTTCCTTGCGCCTAACAGGCAGCATCGAGCTGTATACTCCCCAGGGAGCTGAGATGGTATATGGAATGTTTAATTGGCCCAGTGATTAGGGGTAATAATAATGTAAAGCGCTTTGATCTTAGTTAAAAGCGCTATATAAGAACCTGCTATTATTATTATTATTAAGCCAACCTGAGCCAACCTGACTCGATTTCTTTTTCATTCTCGACAGGTCAACCTGTTTTCCGGAGCCTTATTCCTCCAGCAAGCTCTAAACTGGAACATCTACCTAGCCGTTGGCCTGCTGCTTGCCCTGACGGCAATCTGTACCGTCACCGGCGGGCTGGCTGCAGTCATCTACACCGACACGCTGCAGTTCTTTATCATGCTGATCGGGGCCTTCATGTTGATGATCATGAGTGAGTCCAAGTATTGTGATGATAAACCCTCCTTTTTTTCAGCTTTAATTTCTTCTTCTGCCAGTGAGTACATCCCTCCATAGTGGAGTGTTGTCGTGCAGGATCTGGCTTTGACTCCAGAAGCCGTGTGTGCATTGGACTGATTTGGTAAAACTTACAGTGACCTTTTGTCAACTTTACGGACACTGTTGTCAAATTATAACCGAATTAGGTCCAGTGTGGACAGCATGTATACTTCCCAAACTATCAAGTGTTGACTGTTGATTGTAAGTTTTACGGTCCGCAGCGTTAAGTTTTACAGGCCGGGGGAAGAATTACATTGTTAGTTTTACATCACTGAAAAGTCTGGTGCGGACTACCACTGCTTACTGCTATATAAAACTAGCATTAAGATCATATTTCTTCCGTTTGGGTCACCTATATTGACCTCTGTAATTCACACATGTAGGCGTACACATAGTGTACGTGAGATTCTACGGTATTTCTGCTGTTTTGCGATATTAAGTTTACGCAACCAATGACTTTCCGCGGGCTGAAAGGAACTCCGATGCCAATGCGGCTTTGGTCCCAATAAAGCTTGAGGGGTATCACTGCAACACAGACTTTTTAACTAATACCTCGGACCAAGACCTGTTATAAATAATATTTATACTGTCTCACACTATCCGCTCCGTTCACAAGTACCCCCTCACCGGCACAGAAAGTACAGTTGCGGGTGACCAAACGACACCATCTTGCCTGACTGCAATATTTTGCCGCGAAGCGCGGCCACTGCGTACACATGTACATTGTTCAAATCCCCTGGTGTACGTGCGTCACACACAAGGAACGGTGCGCGGGTCAACCAGCGAAATGTATGTGTCCCGCCAATGGGACGTCGTTGCAAGGTAAAAGGGCGCCCTCTTTTGTTGGCGCACGGAGCCCATTAATACACCCTTTGCAGATATTTTTGCTCAGTTTTGTTTTGTTTGGGTTATTTGTTGTTTGTTTTTTTCTTGCGGCACGCATGAATTCAAGGTTTTGTCAAGATCGGCGGTTACGGAGCTCTCAAGGAGCAATACATGCAAGCCATCCCCAACGAGACGCTGTACTCCAACACGTCGTGTGGCATCCCACGCGAAGACTCTTGGCAGATGCTGCGAGATCCGATTAACTCGGACATGCCTTGGCCCGGATTCCTATTTGGGCAAACAGCGGCGTCCATTTGGTACTGGTGTGCTGACCAGGTATTTTTTTTTTCTTTTTTGCTTAATTTTTTTTGGTGGAGGAAGTCTCCAACTATTTTCACTATGAATGAACATTCATAAATACTTGAGACAGTTTACGCATTCCTATTGGTCGAGAGCCCGTCACGTGGCCGGTCTTAAACGGATGATAAAGACATGGCTAGCTGGTCTTAAACGCTTTTCCAGTGTCACATGAAATTTGGACTCCTATGAAATCCGGTGCCTTTTAACGTTTCATTGGTTGAACGTTCAAATTTCTCCCGTATGCATGCGCAATGTACTACCAGTGAATCAGTATTTCATGGTCCGAAATTCACACTTCACCAGCCCAGCTGCGTTTTGCGCGACATCGCACAGTACGCGCGACGCGCACGCCAATTTCCCTATAAGGTAAGGAGTTGTGGAGGGGCATTCCATATTATAGTGAGAGGGGTGTTTCGTAAAACATGATGCAAAATTGTTGAACAAAATGGTTGGCAACGTCTAGTATTTGACTTTTTTTTTTTTTTTGGACCGAAAAGGTATTTATGAATGGGAATAAATGTGTGTTCGGTCGGTATTAAACACTCTGTTTAAGACCGGTTTGAGTCTGGATGGGCGATAATTACCCTCGGCTTCGCCTCGGGTAATTATCGCCCATCCAGACTCAAACCAGTCTTAAACAGAGTGTTATAATACCTCCCAAACACACATTTATTCTCTTAATACAATCTGGAAAATGTGTAACAGGAATAGTTGGTTCCATTCTCTGAAGTTTTGGGGGTCAATTAATCTGAAAGGTAATTATACAACAATTGTTTTTGCTGTAATTTTCAGAAATGGAAGGATTTGGGGGTTAGGCCAAAAAAAAAAGTCTGGTTTCTGGTATAGCTTGCCCCAAAAGTGGTGCAGTGACGCGGCTTTTTTTTTTTTTTTACCTGTCTTTTTTGCTTTAAATGTCGGCTGATGACTGCAAATGGTGCCTGACTAAACTTAGTGCAAATATATGGGAGTCCGGAGAGGCCACATAAAGCTTATTCTCGATCATAACCCCATCTAAAAACACGTTAAAATTGTGCAGCAGCAGGATTCCAGTCAAACCAGTGAGTTTGGCGGTTTTGAGACATCATCTTTTATTAAAAAAAACACTTTTTCATTTTGCCGACGCGCATGGCTACGGCGACGCGCGCGCATACCAGAAACCGGAGACTTTTTTTTTTTGGCCTTAGTATTTTATAGCAAATTTTGTTGCACCGACCAGTTTAAGGTTTTGTGTTCGTAGATGATGGAAAAACCAAGAGAAACAAATGTTGTTCTTGTAGTCTGATTCCCTGATCCTACTTCAGACGAAACGGAGTGATTTATAAACGTCGGGGAATTGTCAGGTCAGGGAACCAGACTAGTTGGCTTGCAACTGTTCAGGGATGTGTAACGATTGCAAACAAAATGTGAACTAACTAAATTTGATATGGGGGCAGACTGCTGTTTCTAATAATATTGGGAAAAAATCAGGTTATTTTGGTTTCCTGTCTTTCCCCATGTAGATGATGGTTCAGAGAGCGTTGTCAGCTAAGAGTCTGTCCCATGCTCAAGGCGGATGTCTCTTGGCTGGATACATCAAGTTTCTGCCGCTCTTCCTCATGGTTCTGCCTGGAATGATCAGCCGTGTGCTCTTCACCGGTAATTTTCGTGGTCTTGCCTAATAGATGGATCCAGTGTTGAAGTTGAATCCACAAGTCCATCACAAGTCCAATCGCAAGTCCATCACAAGTTTATCACAAGTCCAATCACAAGACCATCACAGGTCCATCAAAAGTCCATCACAAGTCCAATCACAAGTCCATCACAAGTCCAGTTACAACCATCACAAGTCCATCACAACTCCATCACAAGTCCAGTCACATTCCACTCACAAGTCCAATTCTGCCAAATTCCCCAGAATTACTCGAAATACACTATAAACACTTAAAATAACATGCAGATGTTGTAGTATTACCTTATTTAAGGTTCAAATTACATTATAAACAATCTACACTTGCATAAAGATGTTATGAAATTGCGTAAATTTCAGGCAAAACGCGGTTGCGTCACGATGAAATCGACAGTATTAAACCAACTGGCTGCGTTTCCTTTTAATTTTCTCTGGCAGATGAAGTCGCGTGTGCATCCGAGGAGACTTGCATGGCCGTCTGTGGCAGCACAACTGGATGCACCAACATCGCTTACCCCAAACTGGTCCTTGGAGTCTTACCAGTAGGTAGGGAATCATTCCATTTGACGATGCAAAAGTCGAATCCCAGCATCCCAGGGTTCAAAATATTAAGTCGCCGTTTTGCAAAACTGTTATGCTGACTGGATTTTCTCCTTGTCCATTTTGAACTTGGCTTTTTGCCAAGGTCTTGACTAACACCTTGGCTCCTTGCCAGGACCTTGGCTCCTAGCCAAGACCTTGGTTTCTTGCCAAGACCTTGGTTGCTTGCCAAGACCTTGGCTCCTAGCCAAGACCTTGGCTCCTAACCAAGACCTTGGCTCCTAGCCAAGACCTTGGCTCCTTGCCAAGACCTTGGTTCCTAGCCAAGACCTTGGTTCCTAGCCAAGACCTTGGTTCCTAGCCAAGACCTTGGCTCCTAGCCAAGACCTTGGCTCCTAGCCAAGACCTTGGCTCCTAGCCAAGACCGTGGCTCCTAGCCAAGACCGTGGCTCCTAGCCAAGACCTTGGCTCCTAGCCAAGACCTTGGTTTCTTGCCAAGACCTTGGCTCCTAGCCAAGACCTTGGTTCCTAGCCAAGACATTGGCTCCTAGCCTAGACCTTGGCTCCTAGCCAAGACCTTGGTTCCTAGCCAAGACCTTGGTTCCTAGCCAAGACCTTGGTTCCTAGCCAAGACCTTGGTTCCTTGCCAAGACCTTGGTTCCTTGCCAATTAGGCCTCTGTTCCTTGCCAAGACCTTGGCTCATCTCCAAGAAGTACCAGTGGAGCATGTCTTTCACCTGAGTGCATGTCTTATCCCAGATTGTTGGAAGTAAACTGTGTCCGTTACTTCGTTCTTGAAACCCTTAGGTCTTCGCGGCGTCATGTTAGCAGTCATGTTAGCCGCTCTGATGAGCGACCTAACCTCTATCTTTAACAGCACCAGCACCCTCTTCACCATCGACATCTGGAAATATTTCCGAGCCAAGTTCAGCAAGAAAGTGCCCAGTGTGAGAGAGCTCATGATCGTTGGAAGGTATAGGCAATGGAACCCAATTCCCGGGTCGGTTGGTTATGCAAACCGTTGTGCCACTTCTGCTGTGCTGTCGTCTGTGTGATGCACAGCTTGACAATGGCGCTGTGCAAAAGCTGTCGGTGTGCGACGCAAGCTTGAGAATGTGAAGTCTTTCGTCAAATGACACATGATCCAAAAGTTATCGGATGGTAACACATCGGCCATAGTGTTCATTGAAAATGGGTCCCCAATATTTGCTTGAGATCATGCAAATAATTCTAACATGAGATCAGTTTTTCCACACGGAGTAGTAAGTCTTGTATTTTTTGAATCAGAGGGTCACATGGCCCAAGTATGCCAACAAGTTGTCAGTGCTCAGACAAAAGGATTTGTTTAACCATGGCATTAGCCTATGAAATTTCATTGGTTGAGAACTGGTCACATGACAGTTTGTGAAGTCGTGTATGGCCACCGATTGCGAGGCTGTTCTTTACTCGTGAACCAGCCCAATAGTCCTGAAGACTTTAAAAAAAAATCAACTCTACTTTTTGTTGGAGAAAAGGTTTAGTTGGGTCTTAAGGAAGCGAATATACCCTAGGATGTACGCGTTTTAATATAAACTTGCCAAAAAAAAATGACTTAAAGCAGTGCATTTCGGAATTAAAATACACACAGATGTTGAAACAAACAAAAAAATCCTATCACTTCCAAAATAACTCATTCATTTGTCCTCCTGCTTATATCTAATAGACTGAAAAAAAATATGCAAATTCAACTCCATGGTATAACAAAAGAAAAACTACCTGTTGTAGCAAATGGGTTTTGTAGTTTCGGTTACAGCTTACCATCCGGTTGACAACACGGCATGGACCACATTACGCAAATTGTCTCAATTCTCGTGCCCACGTTTGTCACATGACATTATCAAATCTTTCCTTGTGAAACTTAGCACAGGAGGTAATGTTACATTTTTGGAAAAAAATGATAATAATCGGTCAAGGTTTGTTCTTGTTTGTCTCAGGCTAGTGGTGGTGGTCATGATCGGCATCAGCATCTTGTGGATCCCAGTCATTCAGCAGATGCAAGGAGGCCAACTCTTCATCTATATCCAGGAGATTTCTTCCTTCTTAGCCCCGCCCATAGCTGCCGTGTACCTGATAGCGCTGCTGTGGCCCCGCGGCAATGAGAAGGTGACCTCATTGCAGTTGTATTTCATTGTACTTATAACCAGGGGGCCAATTTCATAGATCTGCTTAAGCACAAAATTTGCTTAAGCACAAAAACGTCTTGCTTAATAAAATCAGGTTACCTGCCAAAACTCCATGCGATTGTTATGCTAAGTAAACAACAGCTAAATACCAGTCACAAGCAATGTACATCACATGGAGTTTTGGCCGGTAACCTAATTTTACTAAGCAATGTTTTTTCGTGCTTAAGCAAATTTTCTGCTTAAGCAGCTCTATGAAATTGGGCCCTGTTCTATGCCAAAACTTTACTTGAAGCATCTCATTTTACTTTAGGCTTGTAATGGTAGCAGTCCGAGAGAAACGATATGGTCAGCTTCTCAGTTCTAGACAGACAGTTTCAATTGGTCAGTCTAAGTTGAACAATCTCAGCCAAACTTTTTAAAGGCAGCTTAAAGTGACCATCCCAGAGTCCTCGACCCTGTGATAAAGTAGGCCGGGAAAGTCCAACTTTACTGGACTGAGATGCTTCATCAGGAAAAGAAGCCCTGCCACAAGACCAAAAGAAGTCTTTTGAGAGACATTTTTACACAATCTTGGAAAGTACGGATGTCTTAAATGTCTTTTTATCCTATCTTTTCGGTGATACCTTATCACAGAAACACAGATGGTCACTTTAAGCTTCCGTAGGCAGAGAATGTACATGTATCATTCCATTGCCAATGAAGAGCACCCTCAGGTTCTTGGTTCTTGGTTCTTGGTTGGTTCTTCTCCTAAATACTCCACGTGGGAGTTTATACAGGAGGCCAGAAACACCGGGGCAAACCCCTTCTCTTAGCGATAAGTGTTTACTGGGTTCTTTTACGTGCATTTATACAACACACGGGACCTATGGCTTAACGTCCCATCCAAAGGACGAAGCAATAATGGTTAAGTGCCTTGCTTAAGAGCACAAGTGTCCGCTGGCGGGCTCGAACCCACGTCACTGTTGCCTCTGAAACACCAGAACGTGAGTCCGGTGTTCTTAACCGCTAGGCCATCACACTCCACTCAGGGTCCAGCTAAAAGAAATAACTTGATGCCAATCTTATGACCAGTAATTCTTTGTATTTCAGGGTTGTTTCTGGGGCCTTGTTGTCGGCTTGGTCGTCGGAGTGATCCGCATGATCCTGGATTTCACCTACCGAGCTCCGCCCTGCTGGGGCGTGGACAACAGGCCGGCCATTACGGCCAAAGTGCACTACATGTACTTTGCCATGATACTGTTCTGGATCACGGTCATTGTGGACGTGGTGGTCAGTCTGCTTACAAAGGCCCCTGAAAAAGATATGGTACTTAGCAATTTGCTCGTTTTGTTTAGGGATGGAGCATCCTATTTGCCCTTAGCCTCCCTCGAGAAAATCGAATACTCTATGAATAACCTGTTGGGTGAGTTTTACTACCACTCTCGAAGCTGTCCAAGTATTCCCATCTTTTCCTTTTGCTTTTCCGATTTTTGCCTCCAATTCAAAATGTTTGTCTGCCATTTCCACTCATAAGACATAAGAAAACTTTCTTAATCTCCAGATGAAGAAATTACAATGCTCGCAAAGCTTATAAAAAAGGGAAGAACACTGAATACAAAATACATTAGTTAAGATTTACAAATACCAGATAAAAAGATGGCACGTGAAGGACAAGCCTGTACCTGTCACCCACTGTCTAGCCATCAAAACGAAATTCATCTTTTAAAATGGCGTTGAAGAATTTAATTCCCATTGGGACAAAAGAGTGAAGGTGGCGATTGGTGCGAGCACACGGCAGTCTCATTCTTCCACTTCTAGGAATGTGACCTGCAAGCTCAGCGCGCAGTGGGTGGCTTTCGCGTCCAAAATCTGACCAAACAGACCAGTCACTCGCTCCCGGTACAGAGAGTCCACCGACTGCAAGCACAACCCATCGTCCTCTCAACTTTCCTCACTAGCCGATCAATCATACCCCTCCCATTTCCTCTCCCGTTGACAGTTGATCCGTACAACTTGGTGGTCCCGCTTCAACAAAGAGAAACGTTTCGATGACTTTGAGGATGATAAAGAAGAAATTGAACTGGACGATGACGTGCGAGTGATCACCCAGGAAGGTAAAACTGTCAGCTGACGGAAAAGCTTGTTTTCTTGGCCATACAAACCTTGTTTAAATCATTCTTAGTATTTCATTGTAACCATATGTCATTAACTGTGCTGCTGCCTGAACAGTCACATACAGTCAAATATTACATCCACTTCCCCTGTTAAGCGTTTATACACAGGCTAGTCACCAACAGTCACATCACATTTGTAGTGAGCACTGTGACTAGTCAAATTCCATCATTATGAAAGAAGACGAGTACCCAACAGCTGTAACAGTGGATCCGGGGGGGGGGGGGGGGGGGGGGGGACACGGGGGCCAGGGCCCACCCAAAAATGAACCCAATTTTGTTTTATAGTTTAGTGACGTCGCAACAAATGCAGCCATTGCGTACACCACCCACAAAACTCAACAAAAGCAATACATTTACAGCCTCTCCCCTTGCTTTTCATATTGAATTAGGGGCAGAACATTTCTAGACCCACTTTTTCGGGAACGACAATTTGTTTTCCCCCCTTCCCCCCCAAAAAATTGTGTTCTGGATTCAGCCTCGAACAGCTGGCTAATCAATCACCTCCAGTCAAAGCATAGATGTATCAAGTACGTAACATAAACACTCACAGCTAGTCAATGGTGCTCTTTATTGACACAGTGGTCCTAACTTATAAAGATGGTCACGTCATTGATTTTGACTGAGTTTGTAAGCTACATTTTGGAGGATTGGGGAAAGTAGAGCCCTAGCACAGGAAATGCCTAGGGACATCAGAAAATATATTTTCAAAATTCCTCTCTGCAGGACAACCAGAGGCACACAAGTCGGTGGTGCGTCGCGGCTACGATTGGTTTTGCGGCTATGATGACACGTTCGCAGGTAAGGCTAAGACTGTGGCTTAGGCTGTGACATTTACACGTTTAAACCTTAGTTGCTCTATCCATGCTCGTCCACATTGTTCGATTTTTCTCTCCTTACAAAATTATCTATGCGTTTGTTGATTTAAACGGAAAAAGCTACGTCTTTATTCAGGACGTTTTCAACCCCTTAGTAAATACACTTTTACTTTGGTTTGCTTTTTGCACCCATTACGCACAAAAAGGTACGCCTGAATTATAGTTGGGCCAAAAATAATTCAAATTTGGTAAAGTTAATATTGCATAAGTTAAATTTGGTTGATCTTTTTGTTCACTGTCTCATATTAAGTGAACAACTTTTTTATTGTAAGAAGAAAAAAAGCGACTGAAAACCAAATCTATTTTTCAGTGCACTGCATCTGTGAAAAGTGCGTAGAAATTTCACTAAACGTTTATTATTATTAGTATCATTAATCGTTTCTGGTAATGAAACCAAGGATTCCTTAAAAGCACGCTAGGCACTGTAGCTCGCAAGCCTGAAGAAACCTGTAGAGAGAAGACAATGAGAAGAAATTACAGTTTTAGAGGTGGGAGGAAAAGCCCAGAAGAATATTTTGGGGAAAACCCACGGAATCAGGCAGGGACTGAAAACCCAATCCAGATATTGGCCCAGGCGGGATTCGAACCCGGGTCACAGCAGTGGAAGGCGAGGAAAGTACCGCTACGCCAACCTGACTTATCAACTCGAATATGGATTCCTATTCCTAGGTAAGGCCAAGGCTCGTCAGCACCAGGTTCATCTCAAGGAGGTCTCGGCCCTCAAGCAGGACCCTCGAGCCAAGATCTTCCTCAACATCAACTTGGTTCTGATCCTTCTAGTCGCCTCGACGCTCTACATAATCTTCAGCATCCCTGGGTTACTGTAGCAAGACTAGTGAAGGTAATGGACGCTACTTGCAAACATTCAAAAACATGAAACTTTTTGAAAATATCTCGAAATATCCTACTTAGTCCTAAGTAAATAATAAGATCAAGCAGGCTGTGAAATCGTTGCAGGTGGTGTGCTATCATTTTTGAGCAAAGAGAAGTTATCGACATTTCCTTGCGACAGTGAGGACCAAACCATCAGGCTTTTAACAGTGACCTGTGCTTTGCGTCGAGAAAAATAAAGATGCATTTTCACAGCTAGGCAAAAAAAAAAAAATAGTCGGTGTCTGGTCAGACCAAGGTTTCGGAATTGATGTGACGGATTTTTTTTTTCCCAAGCTTGGATTTTACAGACAAGGTGGGTACTAATTTGCTTTTTTGTGTCCTCGTTTACATTTGTGTCCTCCATAACTTCCTTGGTGCCCTCCATTATTTGCCTTGGTGCAATTTCCCAATTCCTTGATGCTCCTTGGTACAAAACTTTGAGGAGGTGCGGGAATAGAGGGCGCTGTTAAAGCTACCGCGGAAAATTGGAAGAAAAAAAAAGATTTGACGCGCATGATTGAAATCGACGCGCGCGCTGACCAGAGACCGACTTTTTTTTATTTTTGGCCTTAACTCAAATAATCTACCGAACTGAAATTTCAACAGGCTAGTTTTTTTTAATAATCTGCTTCAGATGTATTGTAATGTTCCTTGAATCGGTAAAAAACCCCAGTGTTTGCAAATCGTGCCTGTTGCCTTTAACAACCAATAATAATAATAATATTATTAATAATAATAATAATAATAATAATAATAATCGTTTGTCCTTTTTCCACGAATTTCGGTATGTTTACTCATAAGACCACGAGCAACAAATATAACCTAATTTGTATAATCAAATTGTGCCTCTAAAGGGGGGGGCTGTGACATTAGGGAGACATGAAAATGTCTCCCTAATGACCGATGTCTCCCATCGTGCGAAGAAATTACGATAACGTGTCTCCTTAGTGGCACCTTTACACGTAGAATACATAATTTTGTTTATCGTTTTAAAGACGTGCCTTGTGAAAAAGTTTAATTAACCTCTTCGAAATATGGCGGACGCAATATGAGGGCGCTGTTTGGATTGTGTTAAGTTGGGAAAATATAAAAGGCGCAGATCCAGAGGGTTTTTTTTTTGGGGGGGGTTCAAACCCTCCCCCCCCCCCCCCCCCCTCCGCTCTGACGAGAAATATATTTATATATAACAAGTGCATTAGTAGCAATGTGTTGCATTACCTCAAGAAGCAATAATTGGACATAAAACAATCTGACGGGCTGGGGGAAAAAAAAACCTTCGAATGTTACTGGATCCACCCCTGTGTAAAAAAACCCAACAGCGCCCTCTATTGTGTCCATATTATTTCAAAATGGAATGTATATAAGGACGTAGATACCTTGCAGTTTTCCATTTCATTTGTTTTTCAGGGTTTAGCGGTTTTTATATTTTTGTATCTCAACGGGAAGTTTAATTTTGAACTTGTTCTTTTCTTCTTTTGTACTTATCTTATTTCTTTTCTCAGTCTTATCGCTGCATTTCCAAGAAAGGTGTTCAAAATGGTTTTTTTTATGTTGAATCTGTTCTGGTTTCCTATCATCTCAAAGAAGGCCTTCAGAAAAAGGAGAAACCATTTTATATATTTACTAAGATTTCTTAGTTTTTAGTTCAGTATTATACTTTTTCATCCCTTCGCAAAGAAGAATTTTTGAAATGAGAAGAGTTAAAGGTGATGATATGTAATATATATATTTGTCAAGGCTTTTGAAGTGAAATGAAATTCCATCAAAAGCTAAACAAATATTTATGAAAATTCTGAGCTACAGATATTTTGTATCCCATCTTCAGAGAATTGTTATTACAAGAACTAAAATATATATCTATTTTTTCCCTTTATCTTTTATATATATATTTGCACCTTTTTTGACTTTTAAAGTTTTTTGAACGGCTTTTTAAGAATTAGGCAACTCCTGCTAGCATCTCAGTAGAAGTTCTTTCAGAAAAATTCACACAGGATCAGAGTTTTTGCCACTTCAGTCCCTTCTTAGCATTTTGTGGCGTTCAGGGGGGGGGGGGGCAGTAATTTTGGGCAGGGGACATCATTGGCAATTTAATTTAACCCCCTCACAGTAATTTATCCCAACGCATGTAGATTGGGACCAGAGTTGGCAGAATTTTACATTTATATAATATTTTATATAATATAATATAATATTTTATATTTAAAGGTAGAGTACATCATTTTGCAGCTATTCAAAAAGTAACTGACAAAATTATGGTTGAAAAACTTACTTGGTTTTAAGATAGTAATGGCACTTAACTCCCTGTGAAACATGATTCGGCAACTTTTGAATTGAAATCGAGATCCTGGAATATTGTTTTCTCATACAGCATTCACTGAGCTAAAACTTCATCAGGTTAGTTGTTAAGAACCTTTCTTTTGATTTTGAGCACTGTTGTTGCTTTAAACGAGAAAAAAATTTGCACAAATGACAAATGATGTATTCAATAACTCACCAGTACCAACATGTAACAAATCACATCTGTTTCTTTTTCGAAATGTTTATTTGGTGCTTCATTTTAACAGATTTAAGTTTTTTCAAGCGGTATTTCAAAAAATTTTTTCGTGGGTTCATGAATGGTGCTATGGATTTCTCACTAAGCCTGTACGGCGGTTTTCTCACGGTGATGAGGGTTTGCAATTGTAAGCGTTTTTTTTTTCATTGTTTCCACCGACCATACCAACCCTCCTTCAGAGGCAAAAAAAAATATGAGAACAATAGAAATAAAACACTACTCCGCTCAATTCTACCTCGATACACGCAATTAATCATTACATCATTTTACGTTTATGTAATTAATCTTCTTGTTGTTTAAATAATGCTTTCCTATCATTGCTTTTTAATGTCATTGTTATGTCCTCTTTTTTTTTTTTAGTTATGTACAACTTTTTTGATGTTCCTAATTGTAATTTGACCGCAATTCAGGGGAAAAAAATGTTGCAACCTGACGCCACTTTTTTCCTCCATATATCATCTCAATGAAGGTCAGTCATTGCAAAAATGATGAAAAGACATGAATCTGGGACTGGGGAACATTTGCAGTTTTGTTAGGAAATACTTAGAAAATGTTCTTGACTCTCCATAGACTTTGTACACAACCGCTGAAGTGGCGTCAGGTTGCAACATTTTTTCCCAATTCAGCTTTTGGCTGTTATGGTCGGATGATAATAAACAGTTTCAAATTTAAATTCTGTTATAGACCTTATACATTGCTGGTGTCTTTGAGATGTCCTTTGTCATTTTAATTTGTTATCAATGCACCAAAGAATGGACCGATCCTGTAAGCACCGCCCCATGGTGTTCTGACCAATCACAGCCGTGATTTTTGTCCGACATGCGTGCACAAAAGTTCGACATGCGTGCACGCGCGTATGATGCGCGCGGCAGGAAAATGCAGCGTGGCATTGGAAAGGAGCACGTGTTGATTTGCCCAGTGCGCTGTGGGCGGGGCTTACTGGATCGGTCCATTACGCACGCCTATCCAGACAATACAAAACCACTGCCCTCTACTGCTCCGCCTTAATGCATAAGGTCTGGCACACCGGGCGGATCTTTCAGGAAACGCATAGAGACGGGCAGTCTGTAGATCATGGCGAAGAGCCATGTCTATGATATGTGAGTAGATTCGCTAATTAATTATGCAAGACAACCGCCTCTTGACCTGTAGATTTTGACCAATCAGCGGGCGCTTTCTATATCGGGTCTTCGGTCATTCACCCGTTGTCGCGTCATAGACATGGACAGTCAGTTGCCGTGTCACGCGTAGCTACTCTATTTTCTCGTCCACACGGCAACGCTAGGCCAGCGAACGATGGCCGTAAAAAGGGGTTCAGAAAATTCGCAATTTCTATGCCAAACCACAACCGATCCACACAAACAAAGCGGTTTAAGGTATTTAAAGACCTACTACATACATCTGTCAAGGTATTTTTTCCTTAAAAAAAAAGGGATTTCGATGCATTTTGACGATATTATTTCACGGACAAATCGCCTTAAAATTACGTGATGAAATTTCCGGGTTTTTTTTTCGACAACGACGAAAGTCTCCCAAATGTTGAGGTAATCCGAAACAATGAACCTTCATCTACAAAAAATCTCGTGAACGCGATGTCGTTAATATTTTTTCGAATTCAATGTACACCTAATGTTTCTAACAACTTCCATTTTTCACAACACGAAAGAAAAATCGTCGCCATTGTAAAAGAACAGAGCAAGGAACCCAGACACGACATGACCTTGTGATCCCATACACCCACTGATTGGTCGAGCTTGAGATGGCCTGCTTAATATTCATAAGTCACTCATTGCACGTTCGCGCGTGCTATTTACAATTTTCAGGGCCATACGTTTACACGTGTACACTTGTGATTGCAAATCATGAAATCTCGCAAAAGTCTTCATTTTTTCAACCGGCGATTTGGACCAAAAATATAAAAGTCTCCTGCACGTGTTTAACATGAAAATGAAGCGAAGACTATCCTCTATCTAATGAATCTTGCCATTTCTTTCGGCCTTTTTAAAGAATGGAATGTACACCTAAAAACTATCGGCCCTCACTTTTGTTGCTATAAAGTATGATTTTTGTTTGCCACGTCGTAACAACACTTTATTTCTGTCAAAAGCAGTTATACTCGGTATCAAAATAAAGCACACGATTTCAACTTTTCACTTGCCTAGCCATCTTGGCCAAACAGTACATGTATCCAGGTACTTTTTGTGTTTTTCTGTAGTCTCAAATACAGTCTCGTAAAATCTCGCGTAGGCTTTTGGGCCATGCGTGCGTGACCTCGGGACAAGAAACCGAGGTCAAACAGGGCTTTGTGCGCGGACCGGACACGGCCACTGACTGGATTAAAAAAACCAATAGACACAGCAAACAAAGGCTGTGACCGTGGCCAAACGTTCTTTATTATGTTACGCCATACACCCCAAGCTTGTCTAGGTTTTATATTTCTATGACCGGCTGTTGTTGTATTACAAAACACTGCATCGAATTGACCAATCAAACATTTAGTCCTGATTTGGGAATGAAATGACGTCACCGCATTTAGTAAAGTCGACTCCGATTGGCTAAGGCGCGGGGTCGCGTACATCTGCATGTTATCACACGTGATACTCGGACTAGGAGACAGGGGCGGGGTTTTATATTTGAGACTAAAAATAAAGGCGTGCCCCTGTTATAGGGGGTCCGGCGGCATGCCTCTCCCCGATTCTAAGGCAGTTTGAGAATGAATTTAGTAACTTTTGAGTACAATTTTATTATTTCGGTCCATCGTATACTAGTACACAATGTTCAGCGGCTGAACGGGGGGGGGGGGGGGGGGGGGGGGGGGGGGGAGTGCCCTTGATCCATATTCGTCCAACCGAAACGTGGAATAATAATGATGCTATTATTGCAAGCCCCAGTGCGCACCGATAATTAAAACAAAATCCAGACGAGCCACTCCCAGCATTTCCAACTGCCGAATTTTGTACACGTCGTGCGGGCCAAACACCTGCGAATCTCTCACCAATTCAAGCGTATACATTTTATGTGTCTTGAAGCACAGTGTAGAGTTTGGCTAGCGGGCTTTACCTACAATCCTCCGCCGTGAACGCTTCTCCTAACTTTCATCCTACAGGTAGGTTCATAACCCATTTGCTTTGAAACTTATTCCCCTTTATATACATGTATATGTACCCTATAATGTGCAGTGTTATATGCACTGTTGGAGTGAAAAGTGCGATATTTACAGTGGAAAGATTCCCATATCTGGCCAGCACTTCTCACCCAGTGCACTAGCCCCATAAATGTGGCCAATTTACTGGACTACCTCCGTAAATAAAGGCCACACCTCGGAAAAAATCCATACTGGGCCACCACTCAGAGCTCTAGCCCCATAAATGTGGCCTATTTACTGGACTGCCTCCGTAAACATAGGCCACACATCCACATGTACAAAAATCGTGTCGACGGAGCCAAATTTTGATTTTCACATTTAGGCTTAGTTTGTAGGTTTATTTTGCTTTAGAAGCATACTCACCCTCTTTATAGGCTAATCAGAAAGTGCTGCCTTTTTCAGATGTATATTTTTCGTGAAATTTCCAGATTCATTTTTACACGTTAGCGTATCAAAATTTCAACATGAAATTTCACAAAAATTAGACATCTGAAAAAGGCAGCACTTTCTGATTAGCCTGTAAAGAGGGTGAGTATGCTTCTAAAGCAAAAAAAACCTACAAACTAAGCCTAAATGTGAAAATCAAAATTTGGCTCCGTCGACACTATTTTTGTACATGTGGATGTGTGGCCTATGTTTACGGAGGCAGTCCAGTAAATAGGCCACATTTATGGGGCTATCAGAGCTCCTGCACAAAGTCTATGGGCCATGACAGAACATTTTACCGTCAAAGAATTTTGCACTCCTTAAACAGTGTTTCTTCATCAGATTTACAACTTTTGGTACTTTTCAGGTCAGATTAAGGAATATGAGTGGTGGCCCAGTATGGAATTTTTTCCGTCACCTCCACCATGTACACAAACTTGTCGAACTTTGTAAAATTTTAATTTTTTACATTTATAGGCTTAGTTTGTAGTTTATTTTTGCTTTAGAAGCATACTCGCCCTCTTTATAGGCTAATCAGAAAGTGCTGCCATTTCAGATGTCTAATTTTCGTGAAATTTCATGTTGAAATTTTGATACGCAAACGTGTGCAAACGAATCTGGAAATTTCACGCAAAATAAAAAGGCAGCACTTTCTGATTAGCCTATAAAGAGGGTGAGTATGCTTCTAAAGCAAAAATAAACTACAAACTAAGCCTAAATGTGAAAATCAAAATTTGACAAAGTTCGACATGTTTTTGTACATGGTGGAATGTGGCCTTTATTTACGGAGGTAGTCAGTAAATTGGCCACATTTATCGGGCTAACAGACCCTATGAGACTGTGTTTTCTCAGTAAATACTTCAATATTTTCCCTGCTAAATTTGACTTTTTAGGGCATATTATCACTTTCTGATGGCTTCTTTAGGTCACTAAAGGGAAAAATTAGTGATGGCCACATGGAATCTTTCCCTTATAGCTGCTGAAGGAATCGTTGGGGTTCAAGTTAAATGCCAAAAAAGGAGTAATTCTTCAGTTTCATTTAAAAATGTTCTTTTGTAATCGTGATTTATGACAGTGGATGTAGTCGATTCATCCCTAACTTGAAATGGTAGTTTCTGAAAGTGGTTGTTGGATAACAACTGAAAAATTGATGAATTTTTTTTCTGCACTCAAGGTCCCAGTCTGATTACCTATAGTTGTGGCCCCAAAAATGACTTCATCAGACGGCGTAGTAGACACAGCCCTGGTGGCTTGGGATTATTTGGCCATTGTGACGTACCTTGTCTTAGTGCTTGGTGTAGCATTCCTGGTAAGTAAACAGTTCAAACTTAGCATATCGAAATTCCCTACTGTTAATACTTAAACAGTTGTATCGTACATATTTTTGATGGTTGATACTCGAATTTTGTTCCTCAACATCATTTTAAATGTAAGATTCAATTTCAGGTTTTGCACCAAGACATTTCACTTTTAAAGTGGTGCATTCGTAAATCACATTCATCAAATACTTTGCACTCATGATGCGATTTTGAAATGGTAATTTACAATAAAACCCATGATGATTGTGAACGAAATTAACGTCAATTTTCACCGAACATGATTATCACCCTAAAAACAGATTGGGTGAAATAACCAATATATTGGTAGATTGTGTCCCAAAACAGCCAATCTCAGTTTGATATCTACCAATCCTACCAATATATTGCTTATTTCAAGCAATTTTTGTACGGTCGATTAGGTTACCTAAAAAACACATGTTTATTTTTTGCCAATATTGTTCACGATCTCAACATCTTGGATGGCACCTCCAGAGCTCCGTAGATAACTGAAAACTATACTAATGTGTTATCAGCATGCCACTTTCTGTCGAAAGATAAAAGATTTTTGAAATACAACTCATCCACAACTGCGGATGTAAACGATACCAATTCTTCAATACAATGCGTCTCGCGATACTGAGGCTATACGATTCTACACAGCATATCGTGAACTTGTAAGTTATGACATTAATTGCAGCTGTTTGACGTGTTCATTCGTTATATTCATGACATAAAGTTATATGTCATTATGAGAGTTGGGTTTTATTTCTCAAATGTTTGCAACTCGATCTGTGACGGTGTTCAATTGCTACATTGCTTCGGAAAGGGTCTGTCGTTTAAGCCTAAATTTAGTCTTGACGAAGTATAGCAATAAAGGTTTTCTAAGTTAGGGCAGATAGGTGATGGGATAGTGCCTTTGATAACACAAGCATGGCATTTGACACACAGTCAGAGTATGTCATGAGAAAGATATTTGACTATATATAGGGCCATCGCAGATTGGTCCTTTGAAAAAACTATTATGTATGTAGATAACAAGCAATGGCGGTCAAATATCTTTCTTAAGACATACTCTGACTATGTGACGAATGCTGCATGCTCGTATCATTAACGGCACAAACCCCCAAATCATTTCCCCTGTATGCCCCAGTATTCGTACGTGGTGTTGTTCATGTTTCGGCGGGCATTTTTGGTCGGATTAGCGTAAACCGACGATTGATTCTGATCAATGGGGATGTAGAATTACGAGTCCCCGTCTTCTTGAAAGTTATTTTATTGCACGTGGAAGAAGGCCCGCTGACCAGACTCATAACGTTTGTATTGAACTACGGTGGCGCAGATGGGTGTCCCGAAGCGGGTTGCCATTTTGCATGTTAGGGGTCTGGTATGCTCTGTCTGTGTGTCTAGTGTCTGTGTTTCATGTTTTTTTGTAAAAGGCCTAAAGAGTTTGCGCAATCACAAAATGCAATTGTTAATGGAGAGAATTGGTTATTGTATGCAGGTCCAGTTCCTTAAATGGTATATAAACCATTTAATGGTATCATTTTAAGGAACTGGGCGTGCATACAATAACCAATTCTCTCCATAAACCATTGTATTTTGTATTATATTATATGCTCCATTCTGAAGACACGGTTGGCACTTTAAAAAATTATTTGTTTTGTTTTGCTTTTTTGCAAATTTGTTTCTTAGAGACTTTGAATAGTTCAATATTACAACATTATCTCTATGAAAACACTCCAAAACGTCTCGCTATTACGCAAAACACAACGTTGATGGACGATGAAAATGTGGCAAAATTGCTTCACCAGGATTTACCACGCCCACTTGGGGTCAACATGCAAATTGAGGTCAAAGTAATACATTACACTTTATATATAATACATTAAAGTTTATATGTAGACTTTACGACTCCATCCAGCTAGCTAATATGTTTTCATTCCTGAACCCCATCTTTGCAGTCATTATGTCGCTCCAATCGAGGAACTGTCAGCGGCTATTTTCTGGCTGGTCGATACATGTTTTGGTTACCGGTAAGTAGAGTTATTTTTTTGTTGAGAACTTGGGCAGTGAGATGGAGGTTGAAAAATTGGAGGGGCGGGAACCTGTCAAAGACAGAAAGGGGGGGGGGGCAAACTCACTGATTGACGTGAAGCTTCGTTAAGTGAAGTTTATTTATCCAACTTTTAGAAAAGTGCAACATTCAGAAAAGAAATATGAATTAAAACTGTTTACTTGTTTTTGTAAATTTTACTTGGGCCACCCTCACCTGGACATGCTGAATCTTGCAAGGTTAGGCCTGGAATAGGCATTGAAGGTGACAGTGGCCCAAGTAAAATTTACGCCCTTTCACCTAATTGATTGTATTTTTGGATCTAGGGACCCAAATGGAATGGGGTAAAAAGGAGTGGATTGAGAAATAGCCAGGCTTTAATGTAATATATAACTTCACTGAATAACCCCATGTATTAAGGCATAATCAGTTTATTACTCACTCCAACAGATTACAACGAAACATGCTGTTGGATTTTGAAGGGTTGGGTGGTTAGGAATCTAGTGTCACTAAGACGTAAGACATCTAAGTCACTACTAATGTATACGTTTTGTCTTCGAAGGTCGGTGCGTCTCTGTTTGCGAGCAACATCGGCAGCGAGCACTTCATTGGTCTCGCAGGCTCAGGAGCTGCTGCTGGTATCGGAGTTGGTGCTTTTGAACTCAATGTAAGTCAAGGTTCAATTGAAATATTTTTGACCCTATCAACTTCAGTAGGTTTCATTTATAGCAAAGGGTGCACTACAGATGTTCGTGTAGGGATCGACTGCCCGTTGTAGAATAACAAATGGCTGCAATTTTTCATGGGATATCAAAGGAAACTCGACGTCTAGGCCCAGATTGAGTTCGTCAATTAAAGTTCAAATGTGTAGGTTCACTTAACAGAGCGAGTACTGCTGCAACATCACAATGGTTTCTTACAGAGTATATAGAAGCCTTTATATTATGTCTTTCATCCCTAGTCGAATATGGAATGCGTCTCATCTTTTGTTTCCTTTGTGGACAGGCATGCCTACTCCTTCAGCTGCTGGGATGGGTGTTTTTACCAGTCTACATCGCCAGCGGGGTGAGTCGGTTATATTTAAATTGGTGCCCAAAAGCCGGCGTTCATATTCAATGAAATATACTTTGACGCATGAATTGATTTGAAGTCCGTTATACTCAAACCAAATAGAATAGGCCATCAGCCTGGGGGTTTGGTCGGTATCAAATGAGGGGAATAAAGCTCATTGTGATTTTTGGCAAGGTATGCACCCCTGTAGTTGGAAAATATGTGATAGCATTGCAGCGGTGGCAGCTTTTTGGGTGCTCTCAGTTAAAAAAAAAATGGTGGCCAAAACATGCTTGCTACTACAAATAATTCTTCCAGTAACAAGCGTATTGACGGCCTCTTTGAAAAAAAAAAATTGAAAGTGATAACACCCAAAAAACTGCCACCGCTCACACTGCAAAGCTATTACACATTTTCCAACTCTAGATGTGCACACCTTGCCAAAAATCGCTATGAGCATTGCTCCTTTCGATCATTTGATACCAGTGGCCCAATTTTTGGACCAAAGCTGATAGCCTAGCAGACTCTCAACCCTTTGCCTAATAATATTTCAGGACGTGATGTTCCTGAAGAGAAGACGAAGCCATGGTGAACTTGACTCAACCTCGATAGGCTTGTCATGAATCGTCGACGAAATTCCCTCCAAGCATGCATCATCGATTAGCTCGTGTTTGGTGCAAATGTATAATCGAAGTATAGGCTTGGTTCTTGATTTCAATTGCTCGAGACTGTCCAAAATCTGTGGACCCGATCTGGATTCCACATGCAGTAATGCATGCAGTGATATGAAGTAATGTCACAGTACCTCGAAGCTTTGGTAGGCCGGCAGTCTAAACTCTTCTTGGTGTCTACAGGAATCTGTATTAGTAAGCCCTGGAACTAGACTGATTAAAAATCATCCCTGTTTTGCCTGTCTGTAGGTTTACACCTTACCAGAGTACATGCGGAAGCGTTTTGGCGGGCAGAGGATCCGCGTCTATCTGGCCATGATGTCACTCATCCTGTACGTCTTCACTAAGATCTCGGTAAGTGTAAACACCAGTCATCAACTTCGTAGTATGGCTAAACCAGAAACTATCTGCTTTGAAAGAAAGTTTTCGTCTGAACATGCCCACCAAATTCGCTCAGCAGCATCATAGTTGTTAGTAATAGTGTGCTTATCTGGTTGGAAAGTGACAGCGAGAAGGTGTAGAGGTTTGGATATGAGGAGGCTGACGAAACTGAGAAAGACTTGCTAGTGGTATAACATGGAAAGTTTGAACAAGTAAGGCAAGACGTTTGGAACGGAACCACTGCGTAGACCTGATTCCTGTACATGTTTAGAAAACTATACGTAAAACCTTACCACTTAGGTACCTGTTGCATGTTATTTTGCCAACATTAAACGATTTATATCCCCACTTTTACACCAATCAAATTTCAAGAGATTCACATGCAGTATACAGAAGAGAACAGTTTACCGAAAGATGGTATCACGTGACCACAACATCCAAGAGCAAGTTCGGGCAAGAACCATTAGTCGACTAGTGGTTGATTTGTGACGTAACTTACGCCTGCGCACTAATAGCAATTGACGTGCGAACGTCTCTAGTCAAACGCTGGTGAAAATGTCATCGCAAAACTTCTGGGTCCTGTCTGGTTCCAAATAGTCGACTAGCGTAGTCAACCATCGTCGACTAGACAGAGTTCGGACTAACTTTAGTCGAACTATGGTTAACCATTGGTCAACAATACTTCTTGCGCGAACTTGCCCTTTTTTGTTAACAAATATAATAGAGAGCATACTCCACCATAGGTTCTCTGTAACTTTCGTCAATAGTTATATGCGCAGCCGATTGAAGAGAATTCGACCCACTTGCGTCAATTTGTAAAATTGACTGCTGTTTTCATCAGACTTATTTCCTCCCTCCTACTTCGTCAGGTCAATCTGTACTCTGGAGCTCTGTTTCTCCAGCAAGCCCTGAAATGGAATATCTACCCGGCGGTGTGCCTCTTGCTAGTATTGACAGCCGTTTGCACGGTCACCGGCGGGCTGGCTGCAGTCATCTACACCGACACGCTGCAGTTCTTCATCATGCTGATCGGGGGATTCATGTTGATGATCATGAGTGAGTCCAAGTGGTGTGCTGAAAACTCTCCTTTCAAGTTACCCTGCTAGTGGCCGTCGAGCAGGAACATGCAGCTAGTTAGGTGGTGCTGCATCTGTGGTCAAATCACGGGATGTTGGGGAACACAATATGTAATGCCAACATTTTAGAAAGGCCTTAATTGTCACTAAACATATCAAGAGAATGGTTGAATAAAGTGATAAGTGCAAACCAGATAATCATGACATTCAAATATCAGGAAGTAAATGGAATTATTCAATGAATCCACTGCGGTACTATAATAGTCGCGCGGAAACAACTTATTTTGGACGAACTGAGGTCACGAAAAGTTCCAACTACCACAAAATTATGCTCGATGTGATTTTTGCTCAGTGTTGATTTATTCGTTTTTGCTGAATCAAGGTTTCATCGAGATCGGCGGTTACGGAGCTCTTAAGGAGAAATACATGCAAGCCATCCCCAACGAAACGTTCTACTCCAACACGTCGTGCGGCATCCCACGCGAAGACTCGTGGGAGATGCTGCGTGATCCCATAGACTCAGACTTGCCGTGGGCCGGCTTCATATTCGGCCGCACCTGTGCGTCCATTTGGTACTGGTGTGCTGACCAGGTACATAAATTCCAGGTTCCAACAATCTCTCCGTTTCCCTTATCTATGATAAGTTAGCATTTCGATGAAGGAAATGGCATACAGACTTTTGCAAGTATTATCTTTCCGCATTTACAATACATTTATTTAATACGAAAAGTGCAAAAGAAGAAGTGTTTTTCTTATTGTAGTTCTAGATTTTCTAAAGCCAGTCCAAAGTTTCAGGATCCATTTCATGAAGCTCCATGATCATTGTTATGCTGCTAAAGTATGCAAATTCGATGACTTGACCGTTAATAGGTTGATAAAGTCTACATGAAACAGTCGTCGCATTCGTCCAACTCAACCCTGTTTCCTTCCTTTCCGGGTATAGATGATGGTCCAACGAGCGCTGTCAGCTAAGAGTCTGTCCCACGCCCAAGGGGCATGTCTCTTCGCTGGGTACACCAAGTTCCTGCCCTTCTTTCTAATGGTTCTGCCGGGAATGATCAGCCGTGTGCTCTACACTGGTGCGTATTACCATGGAGGAATAAGAACTGTACCACTTCTTTGGACGTAAAAGATTTGCTTATCAAAAACATGTTACCCGACACAATGTCACATGTGAAAATGACTTCTACATCTATCACACTATCTTAAGTATACACTCAACCATCTGCAGCCGTTTGTTGACTGTTCTGTTTGTCTTTTATTGTCTCTTGGTAGATGAAGTTGCCTGTGCATCCCAGGAGACTTGCATGGCCGTCTGTGGCAGCCCGCTTGGGTGCACCAACATCGCTTACCCCAAACTGGTCCTTGGAATCCTACCAGTAGGTAAGGAATTATTAATATACATGTACAATGGAAAAGCGGGGTCCTAGAGCCACCACTTCCTTGAAAGACGTGATGAGCACCTTAACGTCAAGATCTTTGCTCATTGCCAAGACCTTTGCTCCTTGAGAAAACCTAAACATTTGCCTAATATGACAAGACATTTTCTTATTGCCATGCCTTTTTCTTGATGACAAAAGCCTTTGCTTCCAAGAACTGGATTCCTTGCCAAGACCTTAGTGCTCAACCTTTAGACCTCGATTAATTTTGCTCAAATCTTCAAAATATTGAGTGTTTCAATGAAAATCGAATTTCTGCGATGTTTGGAGAAAAGAGATTTTTTGGGGGGCCAAATTTGCCTAAAAATGTAAGGCTAACCCCTTGTATTTTTTTCAATTTTGGCAAAAAAAATGAAATTGCCTGATAATTGCTGGAAAGCTTCCTACAGGGCCCTAGAAACTATTCCAAATCGTTTTGTGGACAGATGTGGTATAAAAACGGAAATTTGGTCAAAAATTTCAGGTAAAATCACTCAAAATTGTAAAAAAAAATTCCTCCAAAAATTGATGATTTTTGCGCAAATCTTCATTATGATGCGTGTTAGAGTATTGATTGGTGTTCCTCTTGCATCCAGATGAATTTCTGCCTTGTTTTGAGAAAAAGTCAATTTTTTGGCCAAATTTGACTAAAAATGTATTTTTTTCAATTTTGGCCAAAAAATAAAATTGCCTGAAAATTGCTGGAAAGCTTCCTCAAGGGCCGAAGAACACATTCCAAATCGTTTTGTGGACAGATGTGGTATAAAAACGGAAATTTCATGAAAAAGTTCAGGTTAAATCCGTCACTCAAAAATGTTAATTTGTTTCTCCCTCCAGAAATGGATGATTTTTGCCCAAATCTTCATTATTATGCGTGTTAGAGTATTGATTGGTGTTCCTCTTGCATCCAGATAAATTTCTGGCTTGTTTTGAGAAAAGTCCATTTTTGGCCAAATTTGACTAAAAATGTAAGGCTAACCCCTTGTATTTTTTTCAATTTTGGCCAAAAAATGAAATTGCCTGAAAATTGCTGGAAAGCTTCCTAAAGGGCCCTAGAATACATTCCAAATCGTTTTGTGGACAGATGTGGTATAAAAACGGAAATTTGGTCGAAAATTTCAGGTAAAATCACTCAAAATTGTTAATTTTTTTCCCTCCAAAAATGGATGATTTTTGCCCAAATCTTCATTATTATGCGTGTTAGTGTATTGATTGATGTTCCTCTTGCATCCAGATGAATTTCTGGCTTGTTTTGAGAAAAGTCCATTTTTGGCCAAATTTGACTAAAAATGTAAGGCTAACCCCTGGTATTTTTTTCAATTTTGGCCAAAAAATGAAATTGCCTGAAAATTGCTGGAAAGCTTCCTAAAAGGCCCTAAAACATATTCCAAACCGTTTTGTGGACAGAAGTGGTATAAAAACGGAAATTTGGTCGAAAATGTCAGGTAAAATCACTGAAAATTGTAATTTTTTTTCCTCCACAAATGGATGATTTTTGCCCAAATCTTCATTATTATGCGTGTTAGAGTATTGATTGGTGTTCCTCTTGCATCCAGATGCATTTCTGGCTTGTTTTGAGAAAAGTCAATATTTGGCCAAATTTGACAAAAAATGTAAGGCTAACCCCTTGTATTTTTTTCAATTTTGGCCAAAAAATGAAATTGCCTGAAAATTGCTGGAAAGCTTCCTAAAGGGCCCTAGAATATATTCCCAATCGTTTTTTTGGACAGATGTGGTATTAACACGGAAATTTGGTCGAAAATTTCAGGTAAAATCCCTCAAAATTGTTAATTTTTTTCCTCCAAAAATGGATGATTTTTGCCCAAATCTTCATTATTATGCGTGTTAGAGTATTGATTGGTGTTCCTCTTGCATCCAGATGAATTTCTGGCTTGTTTTGAGAAAAGTCAATTTTTGGCCAAATTTGACTAAAAATGTAAGTTTAACCCCTTGTATTTTTTTCAAGTTTGGCCAAAAAATGAAATTGCCTGAAAATTGCTGGAAAGCTTCCTAAAGGGCCCTAAAACACATTCCAAACCGTTTTGTGGACAGAAGTGGTATAAAAACGGAAATTTGGTCTAAAATTTTAGGTAAAATCACTCAAAATTGTTAATTTTTTCCCTCCAAAAATGGATGATTTTTGCCCAAATCTTCATTATTATGCGTGTTAGTGTATTGATTGATGTTCCTCTTGCATCCAGATGAATTTCTGGCTTGTTTTGAGAAAAGTCAATTTTTGGCCAAATTTGACTAAAAATGTAAGGCTAACCCCTTGTATTTTTTTCAATTTTGGCCAAAAAATGAAATTGCCTGAAAATTGCTGGAAAGCTTCCTAAAGGGCCCTAGAATACATTCCAAATCGTTTTGTGGACAGATGTGGTATAAAAACGGAAATTTGGTCGAAAATTTCAGGTAAAATCACTCAAAGTTGTTAATTTTTTTCCTCCAAAAATGGATGATTTTTGCCCAAATCTTCATTATTATGCGTGTTAGTGTATTGATTGATGTTCCTCTTGCATCCACATGAATTTCTGGCTTGTTTTGAGAAAAGTCCATTTTTTGGCCAAATTTGACAAAAAAGGTAAGGCTAACCCCTTGTATTTTTTTCAATTTTGGCCAAAAAATGAAATTGCCTGAAAATTGCTGGAAAGCTTCCTAAATGGCCCTAGAATATATTCCCAACCGTTCTGTGGACAGATGTGGTATAAACACGGAAATTTAGTCGAAAATTTCAGGTAAAATCACTCAAAATTGTTAATTTTTTCCCTCCAAAAATGGATGATTTTTGCCCAAATCTTCATTATTATGCGTGTTAGAGTATTGATTGGTGTTCCTCTTGCATCCAGATGAATTTCTGGCTTGTTGTGAGAAAAGTCCATTTTTGGCCAAATTTGACTAAAAATGTAAGGCTAAGCCCTTGTATTTTTTTCAATTTTGGCCAAATAATAAAATTGCCTGAAAATTGCTGGAAAGCTTCCTAAAGGGCCCTAGAATACATTCCAAATCGTTTTGTGGACAGATGTTGTATAAAAACGGAAATTTGGTCGAAAATTTCAGGTAAAATCACTCAAAATTGTTAATTTTTTTCCCTCCAAAAATCTATGATTTTTGCCCAAATCTTCATTATTATGCGTGTTAGAGTATTGATTGGTGTCCCTCTTGCATCCAGATGAATTTCTGGCTTGTTTTGAGAAAAGTCCATTTTTGGCCAAATTTGACTAAAAATGTAAGGCTAACCCCTTGTATTTTTTTCAATTTTGGCCAAAAAATGAAATTGCCTGAAAATTGCTGGAAAGCTTCCTAAAGGGCCCTAGAATATATTCCCAATCGTTTTGTGGACAGATGTGGTATAAACACGGAAATTTAGTCGAAAATTTCAGGTAAAATCACTCAAAATTGTTAATTGTTTTCCTCCAAAAATGGATGATTTTTGCCCAAATCTTCATTATTATGCGTGTTAGAGTATTGATTGGTGTTCCTCTTGCATCCAGATGAATTTCTGGCTTGTTTTGAGAAAAGTCCATTTTTGGCCAAATTTGACAAAAAATGTAAGGCTAACCCCTTGTATTTTTTTCAATTTTGGCCAAAAAATGAAATTGCCTGAAAATTGCTGGAAAGCTTCCTAAAGGGCCCTAGAATACATTCCAAATCGTTTTGTGGACAGATGTGGTATAAAAACGGAAATTTGGTCGAAAATTTCAGGTAAAATCACTCAAAATTGTAAGGCTAACCCCTTGTATTTTTTTCAATTTTGGCCAAAAAATGAAATTGCCTGAAAATTGCTGGAAAGCTTCCTAAAGGGCCCTAGAATACATTCCAAATCGTTTTGTGGACAGATGTGGTATAAAAACGGAAATTTGGTCGAAAATTTCAGGTAAAATCACTCAAAATTGTTAATTTTTTTCCCTCCAAAAATGGATGATTTTTGCCCAAATCTTCATTATTATGCGTGTTAGTGTATTGATTGATGTTCCTCTTGCATCCAGATGAATCACTGGCTTGTTTTGAGAAAAGTCCATTTTTGGCCAAATTTGACTAAAAATGTAAGGCTAACCCCTTGTATTTTTTTCAATTTTGGCCAAAAAATGAAATTGCCTGAAAATTGCTGGAAAGCTTCCTAAAGGGCCCTAGAATACATTCCAAATCGTTTTGTGGACAGATGTGGTATAAAAACGGAAATTTGGTCGAAAATTTCAGGTAAAATCACTGAAAATTGTTAATTTTTTTCCTCCAAAAATGGATGATTTTTGCCCAAATCTTCATTATTATGCGTGTTAGAGTATTGATTGGTGTTCCTCTTGCATCCAGATGCATTTCTGGCTTGTTTTGAGAAAAGTCAATATTTGGCCAAATTTGACAAAAAATGTAAGGCTAACCCCTTGTATTTTTTTCAATTTTGGCCAAAAAATGAAATTGCCTGAAAATTGCTGGAAAGCTTCCTAAAGGGCCCTAGAATATATTCCCAATCGTTTTGTGGACAGAAGTGGTATAAACACGGAAATTTGGTCGAAAATTTCAGGTAAAATCACTCAAAATTGTTAATTTTTTTCCCTCCAAAAATGGATGATTTTTGCGCAAATCTTCATTACTATGCGTGTTAGAGTATTGATTGATGTTCCTCTTGCATCCAGATGAATTTCTGGCTTGTTTTGAGAAAAGTCCATTTTTGGCCAAATTTGACTAAAAATGTAAGGCTAACCCCTTGTATTTTTTTCAATTTTGGCCAAAAAATGAAATTGCCTGAAAATTGCTGGAAAGTTTCCTAAAAGGCCCTAAAACACATTCCAAACCGTTTTGTGGACAGAAGTGGTATAAAAACGGAAATTTGGTCGAAAATGTCAGGTAAAATCACTCAAAATTGTTAATTTTTTTCCTCCAAAAATTGATGATTTTTGCCCAAATCTTCATTATTATGCGTGTTAGAGTATTGATTGGTGTTCCTCTTGCATCCAGATGCATTTCTGG